CAAATAGTAAAACAAATACAAATAATGTTGCAGTTTTACCTACTTTATATATAAGTTGATCATATTGCAAGTGCAAAGTAACTAGTAACTAACGCTGTCAGGCAAATGTAGTTAAGTCTAATATTTCCCTCTCAAATGTAGTGCAGTAGGAGAAAGTAGCTGAAAAAGGAAATAATCAAGTTAAGTACAGTACTTCATCACATTCCACCACTGATATTATGTTTACTGTATGTTATCCTATAAGTTAAACTACTTTAAATTAATGATTGTATTTGAATAAGCTCAATATATGTTCCGTATGCTTTTCTTGTATCTGTGCAGTAACTACAATGATTAAAGAATTGTTGTGGAGTACAGAATTATATTTAGTATTTTTCAACCAGGTGAACAAAAGGCAGATGCTTACTTTCAATAAATCTACTTTGGATTTTGGGCGAGTGAAATCGGAGCATTATGGATGGGGTCTTCTTAACTCTAGTGAAAGTAGGTTGGTGTTGGAGGGGCAGAGACAACAGGGAGATTATATGTAGGGTAGCTTTAGTAATAACTGAGAGGTAAAGCCCCAGTGTGACAGTGTGAGAGTAGAATTATACATAAAGCTTCATAAAGCTAAAGGGAAAAGTACATTACCTGTGCAGATGTTCTTATGCATAGATTGTGTGTGTGACAAAGGAAATTAAACATCTTAAAAGCAAGAGTACAATCACGCTTAAGGCCATAATGCAAATGTAGTGTTACAGCTGGGTACTCTGGGATCCATACTAAGGTCAACAATAGATGTGTGACAAGCGTCTCCCTTTGTGCTATTTGTAGACACTAATAAGAATGCTTAAACAGGAGTGTGTGAAGAAGATGGGTTCCTACACAACATTTTAGCAACATTAAGGGGAAAAAAACGAAAAACATGGATACGGCACAGCTTACTGTAGAATATATGGGTTGTAAATGAGAGTTTATGGTAACTGTGGGGAAATATTTCCAAGGAAATAACAGAAAGCGCCACTGACCATGAGCACTGCAGAGGGTCTGCCACTGGAGTGCAGTGCTTCCACAGTCAGCTCCCTGCAACACATTAACTCTTGTCTCCTGTGAGAGAGAGAGCACACAGGGGGAGAGACATAGACGCGGTATTCTTCAGGGGCCTCGCTGAGCAGTTTCAAATCAGTGCTGACATGGTGTCACCCTGAAGGGCTCCCTGCTCTGGTTTCAAGCTGCTAAAACATCCACATCACACAGGGTCAAAGGTTTGATGGGGAAGGGGTATCTGCAAAGAACAAGACACTTCTGGAAATGTTATATTTGACAGGAAGGGCTATAAAAAACAAACAGCAGGGCAACTCAGGATACGTACAGATTTAAAACAAAAGACAATAAACAATCTCAAGTGCTTCTTCGGTCAACTTAACCCTTTGCAGAGCCATTAACATGAATAATTTGCAAACATTTCAAGCTAAATGTAATTGTTTTTGGCTGTCATTACCTAATAAACACACGCCTGAAAGACAAGCCCAGTGTCTTCTCTCCCTCAGCTGCTTTTCTTTCCTTACTGATCTGAGTATCCACATGCTGTAACTGTCAAGCAGAGCTGATTGGAATTTCCAGCGAGTTAGGAAACATCTTGTGACTTCCTGAAAGGCCCGATGCCTCAGGTCTCAGCTATGTGTGCGAACTCACTAGGCACGCGCAAAGCCTCTGCTGCGGTGGAATCATGTCCAAGACAATGGCTGTGGCCTGTGACAGCTGCTGAGGCTGGCAGGGTGTGAAAACAAGAAAACGGAAAAAACAAAACACAGTTTTAACAATTAACAATGAAGTGATGGTAATGCTCTTGCAGATAAGGTAATACTGAATGTAAACCATACTTCAGTGTTTTGTTTACCGCTTAACTTGCACATATCGATTTTTCTGTCTACTTTCAGGACTTCTGTTGCAATATTGATCAGATTTGAGATATGGTTGCTTCTATTGATTTCATATTATAGTCAGGTCAAGCAAAATAAACATTTTTAGGATACTTATCACTTTGAGCTCTGATGACAAGAATGTGCAAAACAAATATGAAAATAATAGTTTAATTAATTAGTAATAGAAGTCCTTCAGGATTAGTTTAAGGGAAATCTATTTTAATTAAAAAGGTGATTCAATTTAGAAATTTAGAGCAGCATTTAACAAAATTAGATCCTTTATTTTCCTGACATGTTTTACTTACTCCATGTTTTTTTAGCAGCATGATTAAAATTCCTCCATTTGTTATGTATCATGTTAAAAGGTTGAGAGTGTAGGATTTAGTCCTGTAGGTGGTCGTAAAACATGCAAAAAACAGGAACAGCGCTATCTACGGCCAGTTATTCTGGGCTACTGTATAAACATGGCGGTTCATTATGGCAGACTCCATGGAAGACGACCCACTGCATCTGGAGATTAAAACAGCCCACTCTAAGATAAGGAAAATTCTCACATTCAGGTGATTATACCCTAATGAAAACATACCTATGAATATTATATTCCATTTCTGCAAATAGATCGTCCTAAATGTTACACACTGGACCTTTAAATAAATATTCAATAACAGCAACAAATCTATTAAAAGTATATATAATAATAAAAGTATTAAAACAGTCATTTATTTTGAACAGTGAACATTTAAAAAGGCACACTCAGTGAACAGATTCATTCAGGTAATCTTTAATGACAAAATGTTTATCATTTTTTCCAATGTAGTGGGAAAAAGAAAATCAAAGCAAACGCATCATTACAATAACTACTGTTAGACCATCGCAGTCTGAGGGAAATCTCTTTCCACACCTTCCATTTCCTATTCACATTAGGCCCTGCCATCAACAATAGGGGTTTTTATTTTCACACTTTCAAACTCGCTCTGTGAGTTCACAATCTTTCTGCAACATCAGGAAAAACAAACAAACAAAACAGACGACTCGAAACAAAACAGGAAAGAACAATCTGAAATGTCGCTGTACGCACACAGGCAGAGACACGTATGTCGCACTAAACAACAGCGCAGTACCTCTGTGGTTGAGACAACAGTCACTGCTGGTAGTTCATGAGTCTGTCATAAAGGAAAAAACTAAAAGATAATACGTCCTGCTGGGTTAAATAGTATCTGCAGCTCAATTATTTCATGGAGAGGCTTTGTTGTAAAGGCAACAAACATCCATATCTGTCTTATTGACTTTTTCTGTCAAAGATGTCACATATAGGAAGCATAATGTTCACATTTAAAACTGGAACTCATTGTGTCATCCTATATGTCAAAACACGTGTCAACAATGTAGTCAGCAACAAACCAGTTAGTGGAAGAAAGACTGATGTTTATTTAACTGAAATACCAGATCTTTAAAAAGGTATTATTTACTTCTGGCTGGGATGAGTGTTTGCACCAAAAAATGTCCTTGTATGACCTGCAGAAATAAAGAATAACTTTTTGGGATCTGGCATATTTCTAAATCAGATATAATTTGACCCAGGCCTGGCTATGGAAGGTCCACAGGGACGAAACTGACCACGGTCCAGCCTCAGAGATACTGCAGCGTAGCCGACACCTTACTGAACATGCTAGTACCTGTGTTCACACATAAAGTAGAGCCTTGTAAAAACAAACTTCCCTTCAGTCGATTAGAAGCTGCTTCACGTCTGCAATGTCACTCCAGCGAATGTCAACCTGCTACCTTCTGCTTATTCACACTAGGACTGACCTGGACTGACCTTGGAATCAGATCCCCTCATCTGCGGCTTCGTAAAATATTTATTTTGTGGAAATTTTGGCAAAATGTTGTTGGAGTGTTAGAAGGCGGGGCTGGCTACCACTGGACAATTTTTCTCAAAGATAGCGGCTTTAAAAACAATTCTCCTAATCCAACCAATATCTTAAAAGTTTCAAGTTTCATACTTTATCTTTGATGAAATATTTCACTTTTTAAAAAATAAGGAGTACTCAAACAAATGATAATAAAACAAGTTCTCTTTTAAATCTGGTGTTCTAGTACCCGGCCCTTTTTGATTACTTCAAATCTATGAAAATATGAAACAATAAGCAGAGTACCATGTAATATCCAGCCCAGTTTGGAGTTAGAGTAAGTGGGAACTGACCGGTCAGGACCAAAGCAGCTCTAGGATATGTTACGGACAAACCAGAAGGCTCACTGGAAGGATAAGGTGGACACCGTCCGTTTGGACAGACGACTGAACCTTTCTGGACAGTTCAGTCGGTTACAGAGACCCAACCACAAAATACTGTTTTTGCGTACGTGCTGAGAGGGACTACGCTGCCTGCACAACACACACCCACACCCTGGTTTCCAGTTATTGTCACTTTGCAGAAATATTCATTCAGATGCAGAATTGAATAGAATTCCTAGTTTCCATCACAGAAAAAGTCACATAAATCTCTCTCGTCTGGCACACAGAGCCAGAGACTCCCCCCAGTGCAATTCATGAGTGCTTGTGGTTTGGGATGGCCACTATGGTAACTCCTCGCATCATTAAAACTTTTCAATAAACCACCACTGTTGAAAAAAATAAATTAAAAAAGCCTAAAGAAACTGAACAAAAATGGCTACTTTCAAAAAGGCATGATCACGTTTTCAGTTCGCGTAGCCGACTCTGAATTTGGTCGAACCCTTTCGAGATTGAGTGCTGGGCTACTCGTGTAGGTGGCACAATCTGCGGTCGGTTCTAAAACTTGTTGTCAGATGATCAAAGGGCAAGAGTTTGGTTTGATGCCGTGACCCTCCCTGCAAACCCACCCATTAGAAACACTGAAACCCAAACGCTGGGGAAAGGGAATATGACCTTATTTCATTCTTTGAAAAGCTTATACAAATGAGTGAAGGATATGAGGGGGCAGAGAGGGGATATCTACAGACAGTCGGAGAACAGCGATCAAGAAAAAAGGGGGCGGACGAAGGAAGGGAGAGATAGAGGGAAAGGCAGATGCATTTCTCCTGAGAACATGTCATATCTCAGGGACGGGGACGGGGGACAGGGCGGCGAACAGAGGGAGGAGAGACAGGCGTTCTTCTCACGACAGCAAAACTTTCTCCAACAACTCGTGGCCACTTCTCAGGCACTTTTCTTCAGGTTCGGGTTCAGAAAGAGCTGGCGGGTGGCGTGGTCAACCTCTTTCCGATGTAGACTCTGGTGAGGAGAAGGTACACAGACAAGGAGCAAGTTACATATCACCATCCAACAACCCGCCTCGCTGCAGCATGCGACTGAATGCGACTGGGAAAACTCAGCTGGGTGGCCCCGCGCCTGTCCCCAGTTACAGAACCACTGCCTGACTGCTGGGACATGGAGACATTACAAGGAACTGGACAGGACCAGAGGAAAAACTGTGGACTGGAACGAAAGCTGGACGGACCTTTCCAACTACATTTTGACGTACACAGCTGTAACTAATAACATGAACTGCTTCATTGATATAATTGCTGGAACAGAGCCATCGTTAATGTTATTAGTTTCACCTGCACTCGTTTCCATCCAAATTTAATCCATCCAAATGAATGTGCGTTTCCATCCACTACTGTTATGTGAATACTATTATATTATGCAGTTGGTGGTGCTTGTTCTCCAGCTGGCTGACACTGAGCAACTGCAGAAGAAGAAGGTGCAACAAGCTGACGTAACTATAAAAGTCAAATTTCAACCCAGGGAAAAATGTGAAAAAGGGACGGAAGTATGACATTTCTGTTTGTTTAATGTATCAATTTGAGGAAGGTTACAGTCTCCTCATCACTCCAGACAGATGTGACATTTTAATCAATTAATTACAAAATGTTTAACTTCATTGTTGATAAAAAAAAGCATCCAGTTTATTAGTTGTAGGGGCATGAAATTTGTTGCACCAAAAGGCCCAAAACAAACCCACTGGAAAAACCATTCAGCAATGAACCCAGAACATTCTTTCTGAACCAACTTTTCCTAGACCGTTTAATACTGACGTTTTATAAGACAATGTGTTGTTTTTAACTAAAGGTTTAGCTACCTATACTGTATATATTTTCAGTTTATATTACACCGTATTGCAGTTTGGCATGCAGATAGAGAAACACAGATATGGGTTCTGATGTTGAAGCCAATAGATTAAACCAGTAGTTTCTCCATAACACTGACTTGATCCAAAAGGATTTTGTTATATAGCATTATTATTAGTTCTTTATGTTTATGTAATATAACAATTGTATTAGGGGACTAACTAATAGGAAAATAGACATGGAAATTAGGCATTTAAATCAATATTTTGCAGTTAATCCAGTATCAATAGTATCATAAGTAAAATTTATATTTGGTGATTATCAGTGCATCTTTCAATAGCTAATATCAGCCCAATATATTGGTTCTCTCAACAAAGAAACTCAAACCACCCAAAAACCTGCACAATTGACTAACAGATAACTTAAGAAACTCTTAATTGAGTTCTTTAAGGGGATTATAAAAGATTAAAACAGAAAGAGAAATACATTTTTAAACTATTGCCACATTTTCTCATGAACAACAGTTCCAGTTCAGTGAGAACACTACAGCAACTTATTATGCAACCATATAAACTGCTGAATGGCCAGGGGGGATATTGTGATTATGACAGGTCTGTTAATGACACCCACTGCAAGCCACATCACGTACAAGAAGAGACTGGCGTCTAAGATATCATCGCACTGACAATAACTGATTGAGGAGCCAGGATTATTGGAACATGTGTTATCACAAACAGAAAGTGCTCCTGGGAGTGACAGAGCTCTCTACGAGACAGCAGGTGTGCAGCTTTCTGTCAGCAGCTGCTCTGCCACTTTGTCAGACAGACACTATCAGAGGGATAGCTAACTGCTGTCTGCGGCTATACAGCTCCCCCTACTGGGTATATTTATGTACAACAGGGAAATGTTAGAAAGTGTTAGTTAAAAAAACCAAAATGCTGATTGTTCATTGAGGAAACTACTATCAGGCTTGCACTCGGTGAAGCTGTGACTTACCCCAGCCCCAGAGCCAGGATGTGTGATAGTAGCAGCGAGGGGATGAAGACCTTGAGGAACTCTGCGGAGAAGATGCCTCCTTTCTTCATGGCCCCAGTCTTCCTCATGCTGAGTGTTACTGAGCGTCGAGGGTGACGGAAATGAAACTCCCTGCACAGATCATGGTCACTTTAGACAGAGCGCGGCTAACAACATACCTGTCAATCACGGTAAATATGCCACCAAGCATCAAGCATTTATTGTGTCTCTGTTTTTAATCATTGTACATTTAATACTTTTGCAAACAGTTTGTCTGATAAAACATGTAAACTGAAGACAGACCAGTCCATACTAGACTGTACAAACCACCTTCACACTGAGTTTGAAAACTCTTCCCTGAGGCTGTAGATTTAGAGTACCACGGTAGAAGGACAACAGGAGTGAAAACTCCTTCCTTGTGCAATATCCCTGCTTAGTTTTAGGCTTAATTTTAGCATTTCATTTTTGCATCTTGCATTGGTTTTGTATGATGTTTTACTGTATATATTGTTTGTACAGGAATCATTTTTGTGTTTTTGGGACTTCTTGTTTTAGTTTTTTTATGTTAGTGCCCCGATCAAGTTTCTCATCTGGGATAATAAAATAAGTGAACTGAACTGACAAATAAGTAACTGATTATTCAAACATAAAAGGTAATAATTAGTTGTAACCCAACAGTAGTTTTCAAAGCTGACACCAAGACAACAATCACACAACTGAAACTAACTCTTAGGTCTCACCTTTTGTGGGGGGAAAAAAATCGACTTTGGGTTTCTAGAAGGATTCACTTCTGCCTTCCTTACAATCGATCGTTAATTTGAGGTCATAATGTAGAAATCATTACAAGAGCTTCATCTTTAGATAACTTCAGCAATCACTTATTTTGCCTGAACAGATGGAAGAGCAGTAATCATCACATATATGTTTAAGGCTTTGGCAGCACAGAGGGCCGCTGATTATGTTGACAATATTGTTGCAAACGGACACATATTCAGTGTATTTAATACACAATATCATATTTCATTGGGTAACATTTGTGTGTACAAAATGTGATGTACACCATTTTGGTGTAAAGACTATTCTAGGATTATATTGTAATACATTTATGATAAACAAATACATAAACAATGAAAAAAACAGACAAATAAGGAGCTGCACATAAACCCTTTATCATTTCATGGGAGCATTAAAGTGATCAGAAACACTCAATCACCAGCTTATATGACTGGGCTAAAATCATAGCTGTAAGGCAGAAATATTTCCTTTTGTCAAGCATAACCGGGGCTGAACGTCTGAGAAGTACAAAATATGAATAGAGTTCTTTGTAGATCAATAAACCTTGAAGTCAATAAAACGTACATCAACATCATTCCCAATTTCTTGCAGTTGGCTTTATGTTTGTGCTTTATTGCCATAATGACTGACCGCTTACTCGGGACAAACAAGCAGCTGTGTGTGTTCGGTTGCCATGGAAACATTACGTTGGTGTTTACTGAGTTGAGACTTACTTGGGGGGAATGTTTTCCGGTCGACTAGACCAGTCAGCAACCCAATCTGCGTCCTTCATCAGGATGTCCATGTCCCTCTCCTTGTCCAAGACGTCCTCCTCTGACTAAAGACACAAACACACGTAATTTAGCAACCTTCAGGCTTTATGTCCATGATGACCATAGACCTTTTTCACAGCAGCCATTTTGACCTGAAATTTTAGGGTAAACACAGGCGTTGCCAATGATACTAATTAGGGTTCTGTTCCATTCAGGTCAAACAGAGTGAGGGGGCTGCTGTTGTGTATGTTGGCTGACTAGAAAGGCTATGCCATACTGAATGCAATGGAAGCTTAATTAGTATCATTGGTAACAGCCGTGTTTACCCTACTATTTTATGTGACCGTAAATGACTGCTGTGAAAAAGGTATATTCTTTAAAAACAAATAAGGCATGTTGTTGATATTAATGTATAGGTGGGTCATGGACTCATAACTACAGAAACATACACAAAAGTTTAGTTTACAGAATTCCCTGACAGAGACTGAAAGAGAAAAAGAGTGAAAGTAATGGTGACACAAATGCTGGGTGAAAGAAACAGAAATCCACTGGGTGTGGCAGACATCTCCATGGAAACTAAAGGCAGGAAGCAGTTGTCTCACACACACACACACACACACACACACACACACACACACACACACACACACACACACACACACACACACACACACACACACACACACACACACACACACACACACCACTTCAGGGCCAGTGGTTGAGGTTGCCATGGCAACAGGCTGATGGAGAAATGGCGAGGAACACAAGCTCTTACTTGGCTGTCTCTTCTGCCGCTCACGTCCACGTCAAAGATGATCTGTCCATCATCCTGGGGACTGTGGGGTCGCGGAGGGCTGTGGGCAGAGTCAAGAAAAAATCAGAGGCCTCATTATTTGCAAAGTCATGAACTCCTGAGTCCTTATAAACTTAACGTCATGCTGGAAACACACTCATGTGTGAGGTGTATGCTTTATACCATGGGAGTGGAAAATATTTGTTGGCATTCAATGCAATCGTGTGACAGAACACCTCAAACACAGTTCAGGTCAAATGTTGAACAACCATTCCAAATCAGTGCACGAAGGATGGTACAGGGTCCACTAACAAACTGTATCACGATTTGAACACAGCTAGGTAAAAGTGCTTGTATTTATGTTTTCGCAAGTTACATGGTTTGATTTTTCATTTTATTTATATATGGCTAAACAAAATGCAATAAAACAACTATTTTGATGATCAAACATTTTCTTATAAAATCTACCAAAAAATAAATATACAAATTAGAGGGGTTATGGGGGGCAGTTTTTCTCCATCTTGCATCATTAAAAATGTTTTAAGTTTGAGTGGTGGTTGAAACAATAAACCCAATAAAGCAACGATGACAAATGCTACTCCTGTTGCTCCTGTTTGTTGCTCAAACACTCACAAACATCCTCTGGTGACTCACTGACAGCTGACTGCCCGGCTCTCTGATAAGCTTGACTTTATCTCAGCCTCGAGGAGCACACACCATCACATGATGTGGCTGAGAGTTGAAGGGTCAGGGATCTTTCTTACGTGCTCAATAAAACAGGAGGCGAGAAGACGTCATTTTATTTCCAGAAGCCAACTCAGCTCCTGAGCAGCTGTCACATCACAGTCAAAGCTGACTCAACATGTTGACACTGCAATAATGAGAGAGAAGCCACTCCTGATTTATGGGCTGATTTCAGTTTTCCACTGGGATATTAAGGGAAGTTGAAGGGGTTTAAGAAGATAAGTGACCAATATTAAATGCCTCTTATAAAAAAGGTTTTAAGTTTCACTTTTCCCCTTGAGCTTTCATTGGGCGATTAGCAAATGAACAGCCACCTGGCCATCTATCCAGGCTGAAAGCTTTTGACTGAAAGGTTTTGTTTGAGTTAAGCTACTGAGGACTGCCGTTTTCTCAACATCTGAACCATCATACAATTATAGTTTTAACTGACTGACACCAAACCAAAGAAAACCCACCCAGACTGTTGGGTGGAGCGAGATTGGATTAAGATGATTTCCTACTGGATTTTATGTCACCCAATCATGACTGTGTTTCCTGCTGCAAGGAGACACTGTTCAAACAACTGGAGGGAGATGCAAGTGAGCTGCTGATTATATACCAGGTTAACAAAATAAAAACAGCAAACAAGAACAAACAAGAGACTTTGTTGTGGCTTTAAAATTAAATGTAACTTCTTAAGCAGGCTGCACTAAAGTGAGTGAAAGTCAAAAGGAGCATCAGACAGGAACCAACTTCACCACGTGGCCTCGATCTTCCACAACTATAAACACATATGCTTCTATGAGCCCAAGAACTCATGACTTCCTTTGAGCTTTTAAACAGTGGTGGAAATTCCTGTGCCTTCATCTGTATGTAATGTTAAGCAGATTAGGAAATATAGCAACCTTTTGACTTAAACCTATTCTATTTTGTGAGTTTCAGAGTTTAAGGAGGATTTGTTTATTCTATCATGTTATTTATGCAATCTAATTATATGAGTAGCCTTTATTTATTTATTTATTTTTTCCCCCCAATAACACGTACAACTACAAGGGGGTCAGAGGTCATGTTCAGATACAGAACAGCAATGCTGGAGCTACTGGGGACAGGGTGCATGGAATATTTTGAACAACTGCATCAAAATGTCTTCAGAAGATTCTTAACACTACCTGTCGCAGGAGGAGTTGCTGCGGCTCGACTCGTGCTGGGCATCCAGCAGGATCTTCTCCATGTCTCCATTGTGGATCGAGGACGAGGACGGGACGTGCTCCAGTCCCCCCACCATGGCCTCCTCCTCTTCCACCTGAGGGAGGGGCAGCAAGCCTGGGGCCGGCCCGTCTGTGGAGGATGGCTGGGCTGATCCGGCTGTGCCTCTGTTCATCTCTAACTCCACCCAGGACCCTGTTGGAAGAAGCAGACAAACATCTTTGAGTGTCTCGCCTCAGTCAGCGCTGGCAGTGTTTCATGTTTTGGTTTTTTAGTTGAAACAATTGTGACCCACATTTTATGTCCCCACAAACATACTCAAAGGTTGTTTTTCTTTTTATTAAACAAGAATCCCTAGAAACATGTAAATAAAAAAAAATAAATAAAAAAAAATAGTTCGAAGTCACTTGATCTTAATGTTCCAAGAATAAACACAGATCTATTAATTCCCACAAACTTTTTTTTGTTTCCTCAACATAAAAACTAAAAATGAACTGTAATTAAAATGCAAACACATGCCATACAAGAGTAGAGAACTACTATCAGATAATATAATGGTAAAACTTGGACCCAAGTCTGAAATATTTGGCACGGCCATTTTCTTATTCTAAGAAGTACTTCAACTGAATTTATATAAAAGAGCTGGACTGCATGAGTAAGTTACAACATAAATATTAGCAGCACATCAACAGAAAATCTGGCATTGCTTTTAAAAGAGTATCTGTTTAAACATGTCCGGGTACAAGAGTCAGGACCGCCTGATAATTTGGAGACAATGTAAAGTCATGTCATTAAACTAATAAACCAGTATCTGACTCAGTGCAAGACTTGTTATTCCACAGGGAGCAGGCGGTGTGCTTACACTGGCCACTAAAATCATCAGTGTGGAAATGGGAAGCGTCATTAAACCGTGTCCATTTTAATTTTGAAGCATATTACCACCATTTTCGTAACATCTCCAGAATAATAGCCCGTCTGTACGCTTTAACAAAGCGAGCAAACATGCAAGTTCACTGGATCCTGACACAAATGGAATGTAACATTAAAATATCAATTACACCTGCTTTTGCTGCTATGACAGGTTATTTTTATTTTTTGTGTAGTGAAAGTATTAAGTCTTATTTTCTTTGTTTCCACAAAGTGATACGTTTCTGACATATTATCAGTGGGGAGAGAAAATTATAGTTGGAGCCTTGTATGGCCTTTTTCACAGCAGGTATTTGATTTGTCACAGCAGGACAAGCATAGCTATAACTAGTAATACTAATGGTAACGCTTTCCATTTGTACCTGTGGTCCCTGGCCAGTACGTACAATACAGGCGTGTGAAAACTGGCACACCTAAATTAATTCATTTCAACTCATTAATGTCATTAATTGCACCTGTGATTTTCCTGCCATCACTAAATATGACTTCTTTTTATTGGTATGGGATGTTCGAGGAGCCACAGCCCTCCCACAACGTGTAACAAAAAGCCTAAGCTGGGATAGTCAACAAGACGGGCAGCCTGAGCCTGTCCGTCAAAGAAGCTCAAGAGTAAAGCTCTATTTACTGCTGTGTGATGAAAGGGCAGTAAATGCCTGTTTGTGTATGTGCTGGGGTTTCTTGTAGACCTTGAGTGTGATATACGACGCTCTCCCCGTTGAGCTCTGGCATGGACTGGCAGCTGAGGAGGCACAGCACTTTAGAGCAAAGATAGAGGAGGTGCAGGTTAGCCAGGGCAAGAATTTGGAGAATGGGGGAAAAATATCTAGTATTCCCTGTAAACCACTTTCTCCCTCTGTGCTCACCCAAATGAAAAAGAGGAAGGCATACCGAGCAGGTCACGTGACCCCATAACAGTTAGTAAACACCATGTTCACATGAGCTTTCAGGGGATGGTTTTCACAGTTCAGGCATCAGGCCACTTATACCCCCTACCCAAACGATGCACCCCTCCCCCCATAAACAGGCCTGGACTCAGCACTCGCACTCATCCTGCAGATTACACAGCGGACTGCGAGCCAAGCTGCTGTCGACAGGCCATTGTCTCCGCTCCGTGGACTAAAACCACATTGCCATGGCACTGAGCCGCTGACGCTCCCGAACATTCTGGCCACCGAGCAGTTATCAGCTGTTGGGTGGGTTTAGAGGAAGCAGACATGATGTGACCTCTTTGATCCACTGATGCTGAGGATCAGGCAGTAGGTGGGGGGGCAGGACTGCCTAGGGCCTGAAGATCCAAGGTATTAGATAAAAATGTTTATGACACTGCTGTAAGAGCTCCAGGAACTGCCAAAAATAACATAGTCTCAGATAACAGAGGACACTGCTGGCCTCTCCATCTGATAAGTGCAAGGTCTTATTGTGCCTATAGCTGTCTCTCAGCATGGACGGTTACATTCTAGTACAGGGGTCTCCAACGTGGTGGCCTTGGACATCTGGTAGCCCATGACTAGCCTATTATTTATTAGGCTATTCATATTTTTTTCCCAAGGGGTTCACTTGTGTTAAAACATTTAAATATATATTGAGACTTTCCTTTATTACATTCTTGATCCCTATTCTACCCTACTGCATTTGGCGTTCATTGTATGTGCCCCAAATGGTGGCCTAAACCCTCCCAGACTTTAGATTTTCATGATCTATTAATAAATTGTCTTACCTTGATTAGACTAGCTGACTAAATTGACTGTCAGATCCTATCAGTAGATATGACTGTCATAAGATCCTTTAAGTATTAATACCACGACCAGAGAAAAAAATGACTTCCACACCCACATTACAAATCCAAATCCAATCGGTTCAACCCTGCACATGAAAATCAATTTAACATGGATGTTTGTCATGTATAAAGTGTAGTCCTCCCATCTTCTCCATTCGGTAACCCTCACTCTCAAAAAGGTTGGAGACCCCTTGTTTAATGTGTCCTCGCGCACCAATAAAATCTGATGTGAGTGACAGCTTACTATATCAGGCAAATGCAAAAGTCAGTTAATCAAAAATTGGTGCCGATTTAATGTTGTGGTAGCAAGGGATTATGGGGCGCCAGACAAAATAAAATGTCTGATCCTTCTGAAATGTTTGCAGAGCTTTCTCCAGTCTTTTTCCTGTTGTTGGCATAACAGGCCAGATCTTTCCAGATAAAGTATATACAAAAGGTTGGACTGTTCTAAGATACACTAAAAGAACTTTAACATAATGACAGAACTGTCTCTGATAAAAGGAAGACTTGCTTTCCATATCATGTAACAGAGGGAATATATAGGTAAATCTGGGGTATAACATTATTACCATCCAGCAGCCAAATGCTGGAAACTTTCTTACTCCACAGGCCATTTTTAAAAAGGTAACTATCACTGGCTATCCAATCCTGTCTCTTAAAATAAGACAAGTAGCTGGAAACTTTGATTCCTGCCCAGATTGTGGCTTTGACTCAACCAGCCTCCATGTTCCTACACTGCTGTGTGCTGTAACACTTTCCCACCTTCCTCACGTCCGAAACGTATGTTCCCCCCTGTCACTGTGGCCATAAATAGCATGCCGAGTCACTGCCCCCCCAAAGTGTGGTAAAACTTCAACCACAGCAGCTCTCCCAGCAGGCCCCTGAGTCAGTGCAACAGTGTAATAAACAAGCCTTTGTTTATGTCGCCAATGGCCTTTGCAAGCCGAGCTCTTATATGGAGCCCATCATATCCCATTTCAACAACTGAATGTTCAGGTGATACATTTCCACACACTTTACTTTATGCAGTGAACGCGCTGTGAAAAATAATATCTGCCAGATACTAATTGAGTTAGTAATTTAAATATAAATAGACCCTAAATACTTGAATTAATTAATCCCGGTACATCAACACAGCCTGAAATCTGAAAATATAACCCATAAAAAGGATGAAAGAAGATATAAACGTTAGATGTGTCGGCTGGTTTCTGTGGTGTTTACATTTCATCGTCTGTAAAACAGCAACGTGTAAATTGTCAACATTTTTCTGTCCCCATTTTTATCAGTTCTGACTTCTTCCATCTCGCCTTGTTGACAATGCTTGAACCCACCTCCTCCACCCCTCCGCCTGGCACGCTGATTGGTTAACTTGCCTGTCAGTCAAGCGTGTCGCAACGCCATTGGTGCGTCCACTGTCAATAAACACACGGAACATAGCGTTCTTACTTCTCCCCCTTCAATGTAGCTTCACGGCGGAAAAAAAAAGCAAAACGGGCAGAATAAACTCTTTAATGATTTAAAAACCCTCAATAAACTTATTGCAAACATAAAGCCACGTTTCCCGACACGGTCCTCTGAGAGAAAACACACTGACAAGACTGTTACGGTCCAGAAATGTGGTAACATTTAGCTTACCGTTCAGCCCGGAGTCTCCGTTGTTGTCTGTAGAAGTAGTGTTAGCAGCCTCGGACATCGTTGTGTCTGGTGAGCAGGACGGGTTGCATAAAAGACTCGAGTCAGTGCAAAGCGCGCACTACTTTATCTGCACACATTCAGCCGTGCCTTAGTACCACTGACCACAGTCGTCTTCGGTCTCCTTTTTCAGACAGCGGCTAGCTAAGCTAAAGCACCGCTGCGGTTTGTTTCTAGTAGCTTGTCTGGAAGCAGCAGCCGCGAGCCCCCCGCCCCCGGAGCTGGGTGATGACGTCAGACTGTCCCGTTGATAAACAAAAGAGGGCGAGGACGTGGAATTACGTAATGAGCAGTAGCGAAAAATAAATAAGAAAAACACCCGCACAGGTTACGGCATGCATGAACTGTTAGCATTGAATGTGGATCGAAGAGAGTAAAATCCAGCAACGATTGGCCCGATTTGCCAGAGGAGGAGGAGGCGTGCGTGCGTACACGTACACAGCACACGCCAGTAAAGACATGAGGCAGATGTGTGCCCAAGTCTAGCTTTCAGCAACCAGACACCACATCAGCTGATGTCAATACACCCTCGCTGGTTCAGGACCCAGAGAGCGGCTGCTTTTCATTGTGTCCATAGACTCACAGCTGGAGTTACACCTTCAATGTCAGGTGCAAGCTAATTTTACTGATTGAGAACCACCGGGAACCCGAGTGGAGAACCACTGCAACACATGCCTCCTCTCCAGCTGGAGGGGTTCTAATGCGTAAAACAAACTGGTCCTGTTTGTTTATTTATAAACATGGATCTAGGATATCATATCGATTTTGCAACTGATGTACAAACTTGAGGAGGACAGATTGTCACTGTTACCTGAGAGTCATCAACACGGATTACACATTGCATAAAATGAGAGCATAGCATTGAGGAGATCCCACCAACGATGAGGCAATCACAAGGATGCAAAAAGTAGTTCCTTTATTATCTTCACTGTCATAGATTAAAATTGTAGTTATACATTACTAGAGGCATCAATATAGTCTGAACTGACCACATTTTAAATACGGTGTGGGAACATCAACTGCTGCAAATTCCTTATGCAGCTTATTGTACCATCACATACAGTAGCAGTAATAATGTCTGCAGTAGTTTGAACAAACACTTCAAGTGACTTAATGCCTCAAATAATGTTTTTTCTTTCAAAACTGCAGTCTTATAACATCCAAGTACTTTAGTTGGTGGAGTAAGAGTCCAGTGTCAAATCAAAGGTTTTCCCTGTTGTGAAGTACGGCTTCAGAGGCTGTGGTACACCATGGGAAGACAATACTTAAAGATCACTCAAAAAGATATGCGCAAGGTCCAGCTTCATTTCACAAAACAGGACGGAACAAATCTGGTGACATTTTAACTTTTTTAATATAAATATGACAATCATAATAATTATCTTTGAATAGGCTATCTCTTATACCTGACTATTGTTGAACACAAACAAAAGGAGGACGAGGAACCAACGCACAAGAAGAAGATGTCAAGACACAGCCAATCCAAAAACAAACAAAAAAAATAAGAAAAAAAATCTCTTTTGGAGTCTGGACTCGATTGGCCACCCAGAGCCTGAGGCACAGCGAGAGCGAGCAAGGAAAACTCCTCGCTGGTCCGGGCTTTCAATCTGTGAAAACACACTGCACTTCTCAAACTCGTGGAGGCAACCGCGGAGGTGTTGCTGTCCAGTATGAGCAGTAAGTGTGTAAAGAAAACTGTGAGCATACATTTGTGACGGTTGAGTATGCATGGTTTAATGAAATGGGGGGAGGGGGGGGACATGTGAAGAGACTTAAAGAATACTATGACAGTATAACAGATGAATTAATAAAAAGGTGTATACACACACAAAAAAAAGTTTTTTTCTTAGAAAAATAAACACTAGGATGGCACAGGACAATAAGGGGAAATACTAAATAAGTGTTTTTCATTTTCTACCACAGAGCCATTGGGGAAAAGTTATAAAAATAAGTGTGTCTGTATTCAGAATTTTAAGGAAACTAAACTGGTTTACCCATGTTAATCCAGACAAAAAGGGCAGGTGAGCTGGCAAAAAAAAAAAAAAAAGAAGGGGGGGGAAATAAATTGGCACATCACTTAAACAGCAAGGCGGGTGTTACTCTGCCACTGACGGGCTGATGATGGGCAAGAGCAAGGCTTCCTCTGTCCACATCTAGAACAAAGTGGCAAAGACTGGTCACCCAGTAGCGACGGACAGGGATGCTGGTTGTCGGCATTAACCACAGATCACCCTGGATGAGGCTGCGAGGCTGCGAGGTGGGACACAAAGTCCCCCACACCAGATCTCATGACACCCCGTAGTTAGTTCACTTTATCCTGGAATATGTAGAGGTTGTTGGTCGTCGCCACTGCGATGATGTTGTCCTGGGGATGCCATGCAGTGTGAAGGATCTTCTTGTTGAAGTCCAAACTGTCCACGCTGATTTCGTCCTTCTTGCGTTTGCCCCCTGCACACACTTTGCGGGGCTTTAGGACCTGCATGGGCTTGCTGTTTTCACGGGATGCCTCCAAAGTTACATCCCGCCTTTGGCCGCGGTCGAACATCCGGAAGAAGTTGTTGTATGAGCCAGTCATTACCACACTGATGGAGGGATATGAGAAAGGTGTGTGAGACTTTAACACAAGTACTCTTGGAATAAAGTCCAATAATTAAAAGATTTTCTTGTTTTACATGAACAGAAAGTAGTAGGCCTAGAGTAAATTCACATTTGTATTCAGCTGATGTTAAAATAAATTTAAAAGTAAAGCAATTAGTCAACTATAAAAGTAGGTCTTACAATCAGCACACAGTTTAGTATAATTACATTAAAAGATTAACAGAGCTTTGGAGGTCAAGTCATCTTTGCACAAATTTGCAGGCCCATCAGTGAAAAAAACAAATCCAAATCCAAACACAGATAACAGGCAACAGCACAGACAGAGCTACTTTAAAGTACAACTCTTTTCCATTAGGTGATATGTTGGTCCGCTCCCTGCATGTCCTCACCTGTCATTGCCATTCCAGCAGCACTCAAACTTGTCAAATATGCAGTCGTTTTCGTAGAGCGAGCACAACTTGCTCCTCAGGTACTCATGAACCTGTAAAGATCAAAGGCAGGTGTGAAGGAACTACCTTAAGACACAAATATCCACAGTGAATCTTACCACTGTTTGGATTAATTTACTTAAACCAATCCTACACATAAACTATGTATGTGCTTACATTATTTAGAAGCTTATCACGATGGGGCAAACTTATTTACACATATTTATGGTGCCTCCTAGTGGTCACCATGTGAAATTACAAGTAATGATTCAAAACTAGGTGTGGTTGCTTAAAAAAAAAGGAAAGGGCCAGATTAGACACTAGTCTCTAAAGCTGCTGATAGTACAATATCACTAACAAGATAATGTTACAAAATAAACAAGGACTGTCATTCAAAGTGTTGGCCTACTGGATCCCTGATGCTCCACACTACACAGGGTCTGAAGCAACATGACTTCAAATGATATTAATCCAGTGCTAATGATAAATAACTCATAACCTGTTTACACTTGACTTGTGTAACAAACCCGGCACCACACACTGTTACTGTGCATGCGTATGTCAGTCTCACCTGATAGGTCTCCACTGGCCTGCTCTCCATGTTCAGATCCCAAATCTTCACAGACAAGTAGTCTCTGGTCATCATGTAGCGTCCATTGTGGCTAAACTTGACATCTGAGATTGAGGATATGATCTCAGAGAAGAAGGAGCGATTACTGGGATCTTCTGGCTCCTCAAACACTGGACAAGATAAAGGAAGAGGATACAAACGTGAGTGAATATTAGTCCAATCACAGTATAGATAGTTTTCTGAGCAATATTAGATGTGAATGAGGTGATAACAAGAGCTAACGAGGAGCTCAACTTGGAAAGTTGTTTTTATGCCATAAACAGCACGAATCACACAAGTAATGGGTGAAAAACGTCCATCGTCCCAAGAAGACTATCACCTTGTTAGTTCGTAGAGCAGAATCTATCCATTAGCATACAGGGATCTGGTCAGAGCCCTGGACCGTATAGTGCAAAGCAGTTAGACAGTTTTGCAGGTAAGACAGCTGTTGCTGTGTTATGGCTGCTAAATAAATTGTCCAAACGTTTGAGAGACTCTGTTCAGTGCTTTGCTGATCAGTTTGATGTGTGTTTAGAGTTTTGTGTGTGCGTGTGCACAACTAGTGACAGCTGATAGAGGTGTGAACTGATGGCTCTGGATGGAAAATCCATTACTTAATTTTTTAGAAAAAAAAAAAAAAAAGCAGGTGTACAGACTGTCTTTCTATGAACCTGTGTGAGGCTGATGATTGGTAATCCTTTATTGACATGATGTGCTATGAGCAAAGCTTTGCCTGTCACCAACAGGGTTTTTTGCAGTTCTCACACACACACACACACACACACACACACACACACACACACACACACACACACACACACACACACACACACACACACACACACACACACACACACACACACACACACACACACACACACACACACACACACACACACACACACACACACTACATCATACATACTGATGTTACAAATATAATACCAGATAGGGGTTATGGCAAATTGGCTGGAGTAGTGTCATACATACTGATAAAAATTAAAATAAGATAAAAAAAAAAAAAAATAAAATAAAAAAAAAGGGTGTTCAAGGCAAAATACCCCCCCCCCAAAAAAAAAGGCTGCAGGCATTGTAATGGGACATGCGAGTCTACTGTTGTGCACACACTGATATGGGTAGAGAACACAGCCCGAAGGTCTGGCTCCACTAACAGGCAGTGTCTTGTCCTGTTTTCATGTGACGGAGCCAGATCCTACATATATGATGTTGGGAATGCAAAATACCACAGTGAACGCACTATTGAAAACAATGCGTATCCCTCTTCCACAAGCACTGACTGTTAAGCTAGTCCGCAGTGTTCAGTGTGGTCTTAGTTTTGGCGGTGGGATCAGACTGGTGTGGACTGAGATCTATCAGCATTTCTTTGATCTACTGTTTACCAAGTCAAATCTTTCCATCGCTTGCTCCAACGCCACTATTTTTCTGACTGTTGAGCTCCTGGAAAACTCCAGTGCCAGAAAGCATGTTGTGTTACTATGACAACTATCAACAGTGAGTAGTCATGCATTTACAATAGCTGTGGCATAATTTGGTATTGAAGGTTGTAATAGATTTTTATATTGCTTTCTTCTTCTGTTTTTATGTTTGAAAACATTGAATAAAACAAAGATAATCACTGTAATCAAACAATAAATCAACAAATATCATAAATCTTGTAAACTTTGAGAACCACTGGTTAAGATTATTACTGCTAGCTGCTCTTTTTCACTGGAATATGTGTCATGTTACCCAGAGCTGACAGACATCCACCACATATACTTTTACCTCTAAAAACTGTAATTTGACTGGTATCAATTAAGTAGTTTTATTTCTAAATAGTTTTCTACCTCCCTGCTGTGTGTGCCTCCCTACATCTATTCTCCAAAGGGATCGTATGAGATAAAGTGTAGTTCATTGACAATCAGGAGGGCTCAGCTGAATGAATCAAGTAGTTAAGACACCTGTCTAGGTAGAGGAATGGTGATTAAACGTGACCAAAGTAGGTGCTCACATTTAGAGTGCTTGTCACACAGCGCTGAAACCCTCATGTCACACAGACGGATGGTTCCCTTGCTGCTGCTGTAGACGAAGGTGTTACACTGATGAGGATGGAACTCTGCTGCTGTGATCACCTCCGTTAGCTCCTCCATGTTGGCCGGTTTAATGTCAACAATATCTGATGAGAGCAGGCTTAAGAGGAATAAACCTTTGAAGTGATTAGGATGACTTACCTGGTTTAAGTAAGCCTGATAATGTGTAGAGTGCATTTTTGCAGCAGTGTGTCAAATGTTTGATAATGTCCCTGAGAGACAGAGCATTCGCACAGCGAAAAAAGAAAACAAAAACCATCATCAGACTAACGATGGTGCTGTGTCTGGAGACAAAATAAAAATCAAAGATGACTGTAAGTGTTTTCACGGTATTCATTACTTAGACATGAAAGACAGCTAATGGGATGCCTTGACAGTTACTACCCATTCAGATTTTTTTCCACTTGCGTACAGAATTATTTTGACCTCAACATCGTTAATTTCCCATTATCCTCTCCCTTCTCGTCATCGAAGGTTTTGAGTGTAAAATATCACTTTTTCATGTCAGGTGATGAAAATATAAAAACCTGCTGATTCTGGTGTTAACTAACATTTGGCTCCACCTGAGATTGACATTGATCAGTCTGGCATTATACTGACTCACAGGAAGTAGGCTGTGTGTATAAGCCTGCCATTGGCCGACTATTTCAGTTGGAATTCTCTTCCCCTGCCGATATCCTCTGATGCTATTTTGCAAGAGTACTGTCACTGCATCCTGGGCATAGCGCTGCCCAAGAGTATGGTTGGGATTAGTTTAAAGAAATACAAACAAGTCTGTGTTTTTGCCCCCCCCAAAAAAAAACCAGGGATCCCAAACTGCCAGCCCTCCATCCCCCTCCCTCAGGCCAACAAAATGACGTCAAAATATAACATAATCCGGCCCGCAAGATTATTTTGGGTTTTTTTTTTTCTAGTTGTTCCATAACAATACATTTTTGGGGGGCTTTTATTGTCTTTAATTGATAGTGACAGCTCAAGAGTGACAGGAAGCAGGAAGGGGGTGACACACAGCAAAGGGCCACAGCCACCCCTGCCCCCCCATTTCATAACAATTTAAACTACCCTTCATATACACTATTAAGCTAAAAACGATTAACACAATTTTTTTGTTTTGTGCAAAATAAAGGAAAAGGAAGGCAAGGGTGCCTGCAAATGGGTGCCAACAGATGATCATTCTGAGAATGATAAAGGATTCAGCCAGACCTTTCTGTTTGGCTAGATGAGAGTTTCACTGATTAGTCAAGTGCACAGACACAAATGCCCACATATTGAAGGATACTGAAGCTGCGATCAGTGATCTCGAGGTGCCAGAGGTTGATGCGGAGGTCGTCTGCAGACAGGTAGGTCTCATTGTCACTATTGACTGAGATAGAGTTGATATGGTAGGTGTGAGCGTTGGCAAACACCCTCCGTGGACTGGCTTCCACCATGAGGTCCATGGGTATTAAAACTGGTACCTGAGACAAGAACAAACAGGATATAATTTAAAACTCATAATAAAAGACAGGTATAGATTTTGAAGCTCTGAAAGCTCCTCATGGCTCATTTCTCATCTGTCACAAAGCTCTTCATTGATTATAATTACCAGAGCTTGTAGCAGATGCTACTGTGTCACACAGTATTCTATGTATTCAGTTAGCTAGATGAAATAATAAGCATCAACACCCTCTCTGTACAGGATGAATTTCAGCTGCCTCCTTCAGCCATTCATCTAATGGTGAGTCTGACAAACAGATTTGCTTCTTTGTAATCAATACAGCAAGCTACAAAGGCCATAAGATAATAACAGATGTGAAATCGATCATCTGTGCTGCACTTGTTGGGTGCAGGAGCACAAGCAATTCTTAATTCTAACTAAAAATTAAACTGCATTTAAACTCTCACTGCCTTTCTTTCAATTTTGTGCCAACATGCAAGTGTGAAACATGAGGCTTTAGGCTGAATTCCTTGATTCTTACAGAAGTCCAAACATTAGCTCAAGAGCAACTGTAACAGAACACATTGCGAGATGGGAGTTATCTCTGCTGTTAGCAACAGAAAAGGAAGTCAAACCAGTAGTCCATTGTAACTTGCAACACACCCATGTTTATTACTTTTGCAGTTTGGTTGGTATTTAGATCCTTGAGGCACAACCATTTATATCTTGTACATCATAAAAAGCCGCCATACACAACTATGTTAAACCCACATAAGGTGTTTTCAGTTATTTTGGCTGATTAGACATCTCAGGACAGTGTTAGCATGACTGACATTTAGCTAGTCCTGTTAGATAACTGTTAGTTTTGTCACACCTGTTAGGGCAGGAAAACTTACACCTATAGGATTCTTTTAAATGTATAATTTGGTGATCTCAGCAAACTGCCAGCAGTTTCAATGAAGCTGAACCTAAAAAAAAAAATGTAATCAGCCAGAATAACTGTGGGTCTTCAGGTCGGTTCATACGTTTCATCAACCATAAGTATAGCCACTGGGCAGGTAATCTGAGCAGTCTGCATTACCTACGGAAGCAAACCTACTAAACTGGGCAGCACCGCTCTCTCGCTATATCAAGTATCAAATTAATGTGAAGAGATTATTTTCAGTTCTGTGTCGAAACCCTAGTCTGGCTGAGTAATCCCACCCTCTGAAATCCCCCTCAGGTTGTGTTCAATGCAAGGACTGACCCGCAGTGATGTGATATTATTGGGGTCTTTGAAGCGTCCATCGTCCTCTTTGAGATTATAGCCCTCTGGTCTCTTGTCTCGTTCACTGATTTTCCACAACTTGATTGTCTTATCTGTGAAAAATTACAAAATATATATGTAAATAACAACAGCACTAATTCTTTTGAAAAGGACAAATGAAGATCCTCAGCATGCAGTGAAGGGGTCAAACAACGGTTACATTTTAGAGGTAAAAAGGTGGTAATATAAAATGGGAATGGCTAAAAGGAAATTTTCAGAATGGCAATCTACGAGTTTAAACAAAATTTCTACTGACCCCAAATTTCACATCAAATGTTGCCGGTTTTCAAGCGACGATTTCCAATAATTCTGTCCCTTTAAAAACGGTCCTGACTTATCAGACTTATTGTTTGGTACTTATGACAAACCCAAGAGTACATCTCTATGCATAAAGTCATAATTTTCTACCCAGTTGTATCTCCAAAGCGCTGCTTTTGCGTTAATCTCGGATTTTGTTTTAGGACTGACCACAATTTCATCTATAAAAAGTAAACAAGCCTGCCCGTGTCTGTCTTCGCGTACCTGCTCTACTCACATTGGTGAAAGCACAGACACAGGCAGGGCAGAGCGAAGTCTCGGACAGTAAACATAGTAATATTAGAAAATATTTTCTTTTTTTGCAATATTCAAATCGATATAAGTCCCCTTTGGCATTCATTAAAAACAGTTGTTGGTCTATGGCCGCAGATTTTATTAAGCTTTACAACTTTTTGTGCAGCGCTATCGGTCCTCTATGAAGTACCTGCAAAGAATGCCTACATACCGGATCGTCCGAGAAAGGCAAGGAGAGCCTGGATATATTGTGTTTGAGGTAGACAACGGAAAAAAACATTACTTATAACTATTCAAATTACCAGAAAGATTTCCTGCAGAGGAAATCCCTACATTATGTTTTCTGAAATTCCAGCTCGTTTACTCTCTCAGCTCTTGTTTTGACTAAAGTGTGAAAGGGGCTATAATTAGTTTCTGTTAAAAAGGGTTTCAATGTCAGCCTTTTGGATTTAAAATTAAAATCTCCACAGACTGCCGATGACAAATATGACTTACTTACCGTTAGTTGACAACAGGAACTGGGCAGCATTCTTCTGAGGAAGCCAGCGAATCTTGTTGATCTTCTCTTCTATTTCCAAACTCTTCAAGTAGTCAAACTCGGGCTCGTGGCTCTGGAAAGTGCTGTAAACATTGTATTCGCTCCGGAACTGAGGCTGATTTTTATTCTGCCAGGAACCGGGCGAAACATCAAACAACGATAAAGAAAGAGCCGACGTTAGAGAAGAACAAGCCAACAATGATCATTTTTGTTCTATATTTGACAAGTTTCATTCCAAAAAGACATACCCATCTCTTAAATAAGAAGTGACAGCTACTTTTACTAAGAAATAAAACTGGCACACGTAAGAAGCATATTACTATTTAAAACTTAAAAACTCTCACTTCTTAACTTTTTGCTTACAGAATAGTTTTCAGAATAAAATCATCAGTTTTTTTTAACTGAGTAATTGAGTTCAGAGGGTGATCTTTTCTGAAATGAATAGTGTGTGGGGAATAAAACTCAACAGAAGACAAACTTGCAGCTGTACCTCTATTTCCTGCTGGAAAATGACTACGCGCCCACCCTTGTCTCCTGTGGCCAGCAGCTCCCCTGTGTGATTAAACTCAACTGTGGATATGATGTCCGCTGCAAAAAAAATATCAACAAAAAGAAACATTTAAACTAGCATCTGCAATAGTGTTATTTTTAAATTGTGTACAGAGATAAAACCGTTTTTTCTCCAATACCAAAGACAACGAGCACCACTCAGTTAATCCCAACTAACCCTGGATTTCTTGGAATCAGGGTGCTAGATGACAAGCGTGTAGGCCGGAGATGCAGAAGGATGTCAGAGCATGTAGAGCAGACGGAAAATGATCAGTAACCTAGTTTTTCCCCCTTTTCTCTTCCCCCCCTCACTCAGACAGCCTTACACGTTCCCCCAGCAGCAGTATGTTGCTTTATAAACCATCTCTCTCTCGCTCTCTCTCACACACTTATTTAACCCTTTTTTGCCCACTGGAGCAGAAAGACAATGCTGCAAAAGGTTGTAGTAGGAGGTCTTTGTGTACGTCGTACTCCCTGAGGCCCAAAGTAGGGGGTAATATATTTTAACTAGAGGCAAGGCTACTTGAGAGGAAATACTGAAAACTGCTCTTCTATTAGGGCAGAAAGTAATTATTTTTCATTAACCATCAGCAATCATTTAATTTATTCAATGTAATTAACTAAGCAATTTAGCCTATAAAATTTACAAAATAATGAGCAATGCCCATCACAGGTATAAAAACAAAGCTCAACAGCAAAGCAACTTCCCGCATTACTAAAACACATTCAATATTAATGCAGAGGATAATGTACCTTTTTTTTCATAATGTAAAGCACGTTGGCAGTCTTTAAATTCCAGCTACATGGCGTTCTTTAGTGTGTTCGACTACTAGGGCTGTCCCCGACTAAGTTTTCCTAGTGGACGAGTAGTTGTTAATTCAAGCCAATAGTCGACTATTTGTCCAACGTTAAAATAAACAATTTCAACAGAGTACAACATCACACAAGCCTCCTTCAAAACATAGAAAAATGTCTTCCAACAAATACTCTCCGACTTATCAACACGATGGATGATGTATAACATTACTTACAAATCAACTCGCTACAACCTCGCTCCTCCTGTCCCTGCCTGAACCCGCTGTATCTAGTCCTGGGCGGAGCTGCTGTTAATCACCTGGCCTCCAATGGTGTCGGAGGCGGTGTTCCGTCCCGGTGTCGTGGCCACTGGGCGGCTGCTGAGCCCGGATCCCCGGCAGTCCAAAGCTCCTATGATAGTGGTGTAAACAAACCTGCCCCGGTACTTTAAGGTTGCGGCCCATTTACAGTCAAGTAATAGGACTGCTAGCTAGCTACTGGCAGCAGCTCACACACTTAAGCACATGCAGCAGTGCTGTGTTACAAGAGAAAAGGTCCGTGTAGCAACAAGCCCCTGGTACTCGGCCCGGTGACAAGGCACAGCTTCCCTCTGACGCTGTTTTTCTGCGACTAATCAAAATTGCGTCGACTGAGACTCTTCTCGTCGAATTACAGTTTACTCGACTCGGACAGCCCTATAGACTACACACAAAAAGTGACGGAATTAAATAGGAATTTCTTTCTCTTAAATTTGAGACTAAAAACACTAAGTTACAACGACAATTTCTATCACTGGCTTCAAAACTTAATATACTAAATATTCTCTCAAAAGGTGCATCAGGTGTGGTGAAAATATTGCATCTCAGGAACAGCCACCAACCATACTCTGACAAAAGGACCAACTAAAGTGCTGTGTCCTAAAAATCAAACAATATACAATAATTAAAAAGGACTCCAGCAAAAATGGTTGGTTTGTTTTGATGTACACTGAACTGCCAGTTTATTAGGTACGCCTAGCTAAAACGAATGCAGCCTACAGCCCTGCTATAAATAGGGATGTTTTGATTCAGCTGTATGGTCATATTGCAGGATGCATTTCGTGCTGCGGTTGAATTGTGTTATGTTACATTGACAGGTGTTTCTATTCTTTTTTCCCCACCCCATTCACATTAATGAGGAAAGAACACCTCTCTAAAACAGTTTCTAGAAAAACATTTTAACCTTCAATGTGGCCGGATTTATTGCAGGACTGCTGTATTAGACTGCATTAGTTTTAGCTTGGTGTACATAATAAACTGGTCACTAAATGTAACGCAGTGAAAAATGATCCACCGACGTACTGCACTATCCAGTCGAATACATGTGTAAGCAAGCATTCAAGGTAAAATACCTTATACCATGAACAGTGTAGCATTGTGCTATTGTTTACCTTGCACTGAGGCAGAGTGGGACATTGCAGCTGCTGTGGTAACTCCTGTGATAAATCATGTCTGTTGTGAGTTTAATCTACGGTGTCTTATAAGTCCCTCACAAATATATCATTCAGCTTCTCTGAACGTCTGTCCATTACCAGATATTTGGCCGACTGAAGGCTCTGTTGCCTAATTGGGACACCCGCTCCGCACCATGAGCAACTGAGATCAGAATCCACGAAGAAAGCACAGCACAAGTTAAAATCAACTATACAAGGACTTTGTAGTCAGACACCAACCTCGGGGACAAATAAGGCTGCGCTTCCCGTAGCAGTAAGAGTCTTTCAGTGGCTTGCCAGGGGAAAGCATTTAATGTGAAGCAGCAACAGCAGGAAGTGTTAGGTTTGCATTAGCACTACCTTAACACATAGCTCCAATACACAGCCAAGGATTCAGAAAACAGGCTGCTGTATAAAAGTAGAAACAGAACGTAGGAGTGGAACCACAGAGACTTTTGTTACAAGGGAGCAGCAAAATTTCTGAGTTAAACATTTCAAATATGGCACTTTGTCTCTAGTCATCTGCATGATGGTGATGACGACGATGCCACACATGATGAGCAAGTCAACTGACAGTCACAGATAGGGTTAAGACCCATTATATTACTGTCTTGCTGCAAGGTGTGCCTGGCTGAAATGCCTAGCATCACAGCTCACCAAACGACGGAAAGCAAATTATGCTACATCTAACTGGTGGAAATGGAACAAATGAGGAAGATATTGATGTGCTATCTGCTCACTCACTGCAAGCTGTTTGTATTACTCAATAACTGTAAAAAAAAAAAAAAAAATGTCCACCTTCCCATCTGTGCTTTGCGCTTATAAATACTTAGTAAATGTTTTTTGGCAGAGCTCATACCTTCAGCTACGTCGTCATCGATGGCTCCTTTCACCTGAGAGAAGCACCACTGCATGTCACCTCCAGGTCCTGCAGAGATAAAAATAAACATTCAAATAAAATTTCAGAGGTTTGCTACATACAATTTAATTTGCTTCACAATGTTTCCCATATTTTAACTGTATTGTGATGGGCCTGGACAATGATGCACGAGTGGTTGAGATAAACTAAGATGGTCAAGTTTAAAATCATTGGCTGATAATTGAACAGAAAGCCTCAGCAACAATTAACTATAGGATGTGGAATGTCAAAACGGTGTACTGTTTTTCTTTCCTTGCCCACACACGCAAGTACACAAGTAGTTCAGAAGTAGCACCTGTATAAGGAAAGTCACTCTCGGCATAACTGAAATGATGTTGGAACTCTAGACAGAAGGCAGACGTTGCGAAAATGTGTGTGGTCATACATGTACACACATCCTCTCACAACTTCTGCAAGTCTAGTCCCAAAACAAAAATGACTTTGATATCATACAAGACCTTTCAAGCTCTCCTAAAACTAAAATTCAAGATCACTGAACTGTTCCACGCACGATACCTGCAAGACGACTTACGTTATGGGCAAAAACAGTTATGACACCCAGAAGAAAAACACCCAAAGAATCAAAATTACTACTTAAACCTTACTTGGTATCGTAGTTTTCTCACTTTGACAGAAAAAGTTTACCTCAAATTGTGTTAATAAATACTGACTTAACTCCTGTTATACCAGCAGGAGATGCTCTCAGACCAGGGCAGACTCCGGTGTTAAAAATACATCAACAAGAAAAAATACGCTGCCTTGTTTGATAATGACCACCACTCGCCTCAACAGGTTTTCCTTCAACATAGCTCATTGCACAATAGAAGGTAGATGAATTCCGCATATTTGTACATGTGATCATTTCTATTATTACACAATGAAAACTGGTCTGATTTGTCAATGCAGAATGGAATCGCTCTGCAGAATAATCAAGGACATTTATGAGTCACTGTTGCTTCATCATACACCCATACTCTGAAATGAATCATGATTTAAAAGAAAAAGCCAGGACAGGGTTGGTACTGGGCAGGACAAAATGTAGCACTCTCATAGATTGCATTCTGCATTTGTTGCAGAACAAAATACACAAAGCAAACAGGTGTTTTAACGTTCAAATCATCTCATCAACATCAACAAGAGGATGATGTGAAATACCTGTGCCCAGAGACCTGTGTCATTTCCGCGCTCAAATGGACCAAATGCATGTAACGTTACTAAATTTGTTACTAGTGACCTATTTTTTTGCAAAATCTCAATCGGCTACAAGAACCTAAAGCTTTATAGAATTTTTAATGACTACAAACATGCACAATTATCAGCTGATGAATGAAATGAAAAACGCTACGTTAAACAAATCTCCGACTATCTGGGTATTATTGGGGGGGGGTTGTTCCACATTAGTACATTTATGTCCTCAACACTGGCTCTCTTGACTCATCAGTCCTTTTAGTCAGAAATGGTTCAGATTATTTAAGAGCTCGTTCAGTCTGCAGCAGGCCTGAACAACTAGCCTGCATGTGGGCAATGTCAAAGTTTAAGCTAACGTTAGCTAGCCTGGCTTGTCGAGCCAGTCATGGCATGTCTGAGAAATGTGTGCACCGGAGTGGAAACCGACAGTTTTACCTCAAACATTATTCATTTACATTGTGTTTCCACATTAACCGCAAACTTCAATGTGCGGTTTGTAACGTCAAGCCCCGTGCACCAGTCCGAGAGGCAACCGTTACAGCTACGACAAGTTAGCGTTAGGTTAGTGTCGCGGATAGCTAACTGCTATGTTTGGCTAACAAGGTAGGCAGCATTAGCCGGCAGCATTAGCCGGCAGCACTGGTCCCGGGCCGGTGATAATGGTAAACAGCTATCGTCTGCTAGCAGCAGCTAGCTAGCTAGCTAGCTTTAGCCGGCAAAGACAGGCCAGATGGGCGATGACACTCGAGTTTGCTGGCTAGCTAGCTAGTTAGCACTAACGTGGCTAAGTTTTGTTAGCTAACGGTAACTGACACTCGGCGGGGTGAGAGAAATCTTGCAGCCGTCGGAGCAGCGCGCTTGTTGAGACACAGTCAGGGTTGGACAAACACCGGCCTGCTCGTTGTGTTAATGTGGGCAACAATTCAAATGAATTACCTGCCATGATGAGACAGACAGTGGAGCTTGCCTCAGTCAGTCACGATCCTGCTTCCCACTCCCACGCGTTGGTTCGTGGGATCTGAACTTTTCCTTCCTCTCTCTGTCTCTCTCTCTCTCTCTCTCTCTCTCTCTCTCTCTCTCTCTCTCTCTGTCTGTCTGTCTGTCTGTCTGTCTGTCTCTGTCTCTCTCTCTCTGTCTCTCTCTCTCTGTCTGTCTGTCTGTCTGCGCAAACCTGTCTGTCTGTCGCTCAGTTAGCCGTAACGCAGGTTATTTTATGGCTCTCCTCCTTTTCTTTCCCGCTCCTCTCGCTGTTGTTCCACTCTGTGTGTCAGTCACTCTCCCCCTCTGTCTCTCTTGCCGCATCCCACAAGTCACTTCTTCCCCACCCCTCTAGAGTCTCTTTCCGCACGTGAACCAAAGGGTTTTTATAATGCGCGCGCACACAGCGTGGCAGATGCACAGGCACGCGCGTGCACATGGATGAAGCCAAGAAGCCAAGAAGGGTCATGGATGAAGGCCAGAGAGGATCAGAGTGTCCTGCTCAAGCACTAATACTGTTATACTTGATGTAAACTTTAGTGAAGTATTAATATGTCTTGTGCTTAAAAGCACTCAAGGAAAACTAATTTTAGTTCCTGCGTTATTTCGTTACTCACTAACATTTGGTCAAAGTAAAAGGATTGTGTGTTATTCCAATGTGATTCCAATATGACTACATTTTGTCAAGCAACCTTCTCCAGGTCAGGGATGCTCTCCAAACATGTGGTCACATTCAAGTGTCTAAGCAGACTACACATGTACTCCACCAATACACTGACACATAAACCACCTCTACAGTAACAATAATCCATACATATCTTACATATCATGGCTTTGCACTGCCATGCACTCCTGCTTGCATGCACCATAACCCTGTAGTATATATAGGTTATATACAATAACATGGTTATATAGATACTGTTTGCCCAACTCTTGCCAGTATATTTGCTGTGTCAAATGTTGTTATCTTAGCTGATTCTCTGCATTCTCTGCACTGTCTAAAAGGATAGAGATACTGAAAACCAAGACAAAATTCTTGTATGCACTTGACCAATAAAGTTTATTCTGATTCTGAATTATTTCCTCATGAGGAGAAAGAGAACAATATCAAAAACCTAATTTAAATAAATTAGATAATAAAATACCCATCATTACTGAACTATACTGTCATCTGTATACATAAGGCCTTACATGGAATGTAACCTTTCAAGTTTTACAGTTTACAGAGCCATAAGTAAGTGAAGCTGAATATTTTTCTACTTACAGTAAAACACAGAACACATGCACTGTGTTATTAACCATTGTGGTGGTATATATGAGACAGAAATTTCTGTTTCTTACCTGTGTCTCTTGCGTCTCTCCAAAAGTTAGATAAAGCGTAATATTTTTGCAACTTGGCCACAACAACTGTCAGTGTTGCAAGACTACTGTATGTTCAAGACAATCACAGCAGTTGTGGACATTTTGGATTTTCTTGGTTAGAGTCAGGGAGCTGACCTAGAAAGCTAGAAAAAGTGGAGGAATAAAATATTGCAAGAAAAAAGACTTCAATCTGTTGCTACACACTTTATTAGTAAAATAAAATCTGATAATGAAGCTGTCTAATTAACCATCATTATCTGCAGATTGCAAGTGCAAAGTGCTGCTATAAGGACTGTCTGCCACATAATAGCAGTAACAGACCTCCTTACATTCTGAATACTCATTTCCACGCATGACCATTGCAATCCAAAATGTCTTTTATATTTATTAAGATATTTCTCTTCTCCTATTTTCGGTAAGTCATACAGTAAGGAACCACAGGGACTGAAAAGCTTGTTTCAGCACCACAGACATGGAGGCTTCAGATGTGCAAGTGATAAGTTTCACCACCCACATGGACAGTTTAGATCCTTTATCTGTTTCAGTGGAAGTATTCCCACTGAAGAAAAGAGAAATACAGCAGTCCTAAGCTGCAGCTTGCTAAGAAATGCAGGAATGTGAGGAGAAACATCAAATCAAAATGGCAAGCCCATGAGAAAAGAAACTATGATGAATATTTCTTTGCCGGAAGCTTGTTCAGTTGGAGAAGAGCTATCAAAACTGCCAACTGCAATATCTTGTTAGACTCTGTAAAGCTGTCAGTTCAGTCCCAGACACTGCATGCTTTCTGACCCACTTCACCTGTCAATGAATTTCAAACCCTTTAATTGACATTTCTTAAGACAAGATCCCTCTCAATCTTCTTCAAACAACCAGCAGCAGTGCACCCCTCTGCTGCCCCAGCAGCACCTGCCCCTCATCACAGAGACAGACAGCACAAACAACTTTCAGAAAAGAAATGAAAGGAGAGCATAGGGGGGTTATGGGCACCCCCATTGAAAGCCTCAGATCTTGCAGTGACCAGCTGGTAGCCTCAGTTTCTTGTATCCATCCTTAAGGATAAACCACAAAGCTCACTCTCAGTTGTTTTCACTGGGGTCGCTGTATGACTTTGGTAGTTTCTAATTCCAATTGTTCACAGCTGTTCAGTTTTTAAATGTAATTTCTGAGTGCTTTTCGGTTTACAGATCAAATTGCATTTAGTGGTACTTTGAGATAAATCAGTCAGTGCTATACTACCATCCTCACAGTGGCAATGCTTACTTGCTGATGTTTCTCAGGCATAATGTTTACCATCTTAGATTAGTTAATAATGTTATCATAACATTTGCTAATGTGCACAAAACACAAAGTACAGCTGAGGCTGATGTTATTATTTGTGCTGGTATTTGGTCATAAACCTACTACTAGTACTGGACAAGTTTAAAATTTGACCTAATGATGGAACTAAAAAAGGTTAAGAAATCATCAGTAGTTTTTATCCTGAGGGGGCAATGGGTGTGTGAACCAAATTTATCTGCACATGGCTCATCATTCATTAGTTCTTGAGACATTTCACTCAAAACCACAAATGTCAAACTCATGGTGGTTATCAAGATAACAGTTATTAGGATGTATTACTTGAGAACATAATTTTGCTAATCCATTGAGTAGATATTAAAGGTCCAGTATGTGACATTTAGGAGGATCTACTGGCAAAAAGGGAATATAATCGTCAGGGGTGTGTTTTCATTAGTGTAAAGCTGAATCACCTAAATATAGAAACTGTTAGAGTGAGCTGTGAGGCCCCCATGTTGAAACTCCATGTAACCCAGAACAGACAAACCAAGTTTAGATAGATCCTTTGGTGTTTTTCGGGAGGTTGTCACCAGGTTGTCAGCTAGAGATGCTACTTCACTGCCAGATGCTACTAAATCCTTTTTAGTTTAGATTAGTCCTCTGTATGAATGTCTGTACAAAAATTATTGGTAATCCATCTGGTCAACATGCTCACTGACCAACATCGCCATCCCTACATAAAACAAGTATCAGTTATTAGAAAAAAAGAGAGATTGTTGCAATTCCTATAAAGCAATTACAACACTGTTGTCAAATAAAGTCAAAACTATGCATAGCTCCCAGTAGGGGTTCGTGGGAAAATATGTTTGTTTTGTGATTTGGATGAGCGAACCCTTTAAGTTGAACTCATGTCCAAGTCGCAAGTCTCGAGTGTACGACTCTGCCTGTTGAGGGTTGCAGTACTTCCTGCCAGGCGGAAAGCAGCTTGTGCTGCTGTCTGAAACAGCAAGCCACAAGACAAGACAATAAGCTGTTCTTATTGGGATGCTGTCATCCATGACTGGAGCCTTTCAGAGTGTGCATAAATTACAGATCCTAATTTTAGAAACTGGTTAATAGAGAGTCTATGTTAACTGATATCTGTCTATATCATAGAAAATATATATCAGTGAGAGTGATTTAATACAGTATCTGTTTAAGGCAACACGTGATTTGCATAAATCTGTTATCAACATTTTGTTGAGTGTTTCCCTGCTGCCCTGACATAACATGTTACTGTAAACTGTAATTAGATATTGTCAAGACGCTAAAAATACTAGCTTGTTATTAACCTTTGTTGTACAGTCAACAGTCTCATATTTGCCTAGTGAGCATGCCAGTTGCATGGAAGAATACAAATCACCCCATGTTGCTCTGGCCTTGTCTTCTGTCCACTAGAGGGCCACCAAGATTTGAAAATGTGGATTGTACAGTAAGGTAAAGGGCCACAAGGGTCAGTTAATTTCTCTTCCCATTACATTCTACATATTAGCATAAAAAAAGACCATTAAGTAATAAATGCAATAGATGTTTGTCTTTCAATATCACAATGATGGCTTATATACTATGGGATTTGCAAATCATTGTAAAAGCAAATCAGTTCAGCCTGCAAGTTCATTAGGTACACTGGTAGGTTTCTGCTGTCAGATATGTAGACAATGCAGGTATAGCAGGGAATTATAAATGCACGATTTGAATGTGACCTTGTTAATTGTAAAAATGACAATACGTAGTGTACTCATTCGACTTTGTTCCAGATGAATGAATTTGGGTTGATGACTCATTCTGTCAGACAATAACTGATTGTTGATGGAAAACCACCTGGGGCTAATCGATATCCTCAGCATCTGTTTGCACACACCTTGATGCAATTGAAATAAAAAAATTAAATTTGAATGGTACAAATCACATGTAATTATGATTAGTCCTATTTCAATTAGTAGTAGCGGTGTCAGAGAATGCCTGTTAATAAGACTAAATAAATGTGCTGTGTACTAGCTGTGTGTATTTACAGCATTGTACAATATAAACAATGAATGATTTCTGTCAGTGGCTGTGTTTGCCACATGATAATGTTATGGCAGCTCACAATAATAAAAAGTTTGTATAATGTTAATAGATTAAATCTTTTCTGCATCATTTAAGCACATAAATGAACAATGGAATGGAAGGAACATTAATAAGGTGATAATGGAGGGCTGACTCTCCAGCTTGACAGCTTTAACCAGGTCAAATACATTCTTACCAAGGTTATTTCCTCTCCTCAGTCAACTGAAAACCCCAGCAGTCAACACCAGTGGCATCATGCCCATTCTCCCTGTGCAAGGTGATATAGGTCTTCAGGTGCACGGACTGTGGGGGCGTCTCCATGCATGACTATTTTTGTTCATGTTTGTGCAGCAGTGCAAAAGGAATGGGTGGAGGTGAAATGTTTATAATAAGTAGGTTATTTATGATTATTATAAATTCACACCCAGTTCTACACGAGTGCAAAAGCATGCATTGCACTGATTTTATATATATATATATATATACACATACATACACATATACATACATACATACACACACGTGAAAAAAGTAGGACACCCCATTAAATATTCAGTTATTCATTAAGAAATGTTCACATATCGATGTCTAATCTTGTTTTTATTTATCTCTGGAAAACAAAGGGATCTAATTGCAGGTAAACAGCAAAAAATAACATTGTTTTACTCATTAAACAAAAGACATCAACATAAATGCATATTCTAACTGAGGAAAAAGTTATGACACCCTACCCCCTAATACCTACTGTTACCCCCTTTGGCTGAAATAAATTCAGTGAGACGCTTCTTGTAACCCTCTACCAGTCTCTGACATCGGTCTGAGGAAAGTTTGCCCCACTCCTCAATGCAGAATGCTTTAACCTGTGTGATGTTTGAGGGGTTTCTTGCATGTACAGCCCGTTTCAAATCACCCCACAGCATCTCAATGGGATTAAGATCTGGGCTTTGACTGGGCCATTCCAGGACTCTCCATTTCTTAGTTTTCAGCCAGTCCTCGGTGGATTTACTGGTATGTTTAGGGTCATTGTCATGTTGCAGGGGTCCAGTTCCGCTTCAGCTTTAATTTTCTTACAGATCGTCTCACATGTTGCTCAAGCACCCTTTGATACACTGTAGAATTCATTATGGATTCTATGATGGTGAGCTGGCCAGGTCCTGCTGCAGCAAAGCATCTCCAAACCATGACACTTCCACCTCCATGCTTCACAGTTGGTATGAGGTTCTTTTCCTGGAACGCTGTATTTGGTGTGCGCCAAACATGTCCTCTGTTCTGGTGTCCAAATAATTAAATTTTAGACTCATCTGTCCAAAGAACATTATTCCAGAAGTCCTGTTCTTTGTCTACGTTCTCTCTGGCAAACTTCAGTCTGGCCTTAATGTTTCTCTTGGTTTCCTCCTTGCACACCTTTCGTGAAAATAAAATGTGTGCAGTCTCTTTCTGATTGTAGAGGCATGCACTTTCACATCAACAGAGCCTGCTGTAGGTCCCGTGATGACATTTTAGGGGTTTTGGAGACTTCTTTTAGCATCTTGTGGTCTGCTCTCGGGGTGAACTTGCTTGGACGGCCAGACCTGGGCATGTTGGCAGTTGTTTTGAATGTCCTCCACTTGTACACTATTTTCCGGACAGTGGAATGGCTGATTTCAAACTCTTTTGAGATCTTTTTAAATCCCTTATCAGAATCATAAGCTGCAACAATCTTCTTTCTGAAGGCCTCAGACAGGTCTTTCGATCTCACCATGGTGTTCACTCTCACGTCAACAGTCAGGAGCACACCAAACGGAATCTCTGAGGTTTAAATAGGGCAAGCCTCCTTCAAAATGCTGAGTAACAATGTTCTAATCATGTGCACCTGATGTGATACACCTGTGTGTGATTTCAGTCATTTTAAGTGGGAAAAAATGCTTGTTTAGTTATATTACTTGAATCTCTCAGTATTGTTAAAATTGATATTAAATATCCATATGTCTAAATATGTTAAAAAACACACATGTTTTCATAGGGTGTCCTAATTTTTTCACATGACTGTAGATTCATGGTTTTTAAAGATATAATTCAAAACATTTTTGGAGGAAGGGCCCCCCTACCATGCGTTGTTATTTCACTTTCCCTAACTGGCAAATGTCCAAAAAAGATAAATCACTGTTTTTAGAAGACACCAAATTTTCTGTGTTCTTACATGTTCTTCCAAACTCACTACATTGTTAGCTGTATTTTCTTTTACCCTATAGCTTTGGTAATTTGTTTGAAGACCTAAAAACTGGTGTTTTGCAATATGAGACTCTTGCAATAGATATTACAATCATACCATGCAACACAAGGTATAGTTTGGCAATAGGACATTATACTCTCAATTGTATAATCTTTAAAAGCTGTTGGTTGGTATTGCATATTTAATGCATAAACATGGGCTTCTTTGCAAAGAAACATGATACCAAGAAGCCACCTTGGATGCATTCAGTACATCAGTATAATATTTGCAAAAGCAGCTGTACTAAGGACTCACACAGCAAACCTTTTGAGGTGTTTTCAGGCACAGATTAGGAACTAGATCAGGAAATTGCACATCCAGTTCCTCATGGTGCATGGTAGAGGGGCTTATGTGATGTCTGGAAATATTAGTATGATGTCATTATTATGATGTAATCAATGCATGTCTGGATTGCAAGAGCAGTGTGCAGTAATCTCAAAATCTTCTTTTAAAAACAAGTTCAATCGCTCAGGGCTTTGCCCGATGACAGACTGCCAACCTTTGACCCTCTGGGAGCACATGATAAAAGCCACGAGCAAGTACATTCACACTGCAAAGCAGCATATAATCCTATTGAAGACAGGGTCTTTTTTATCGGTAGCCTACAGGCATACTGAATCAATGCCTGTAGGCATTATTATTTGATGGTGGACCATGCACAGTCTGCATTACAGTAGTGTAGTAGCAGAGGTTTGCCTGTTATAATCCAGTGGTACACCAGGACCAGGCAGGGGCAGTGTTGTTCAAGAGGCACACTCTGTTGGAGGCCGGAAGTATGTGACCAATCCCTGCAAGGAAAAGAGTTCACTGTGAGACTGAATGTCTAACTTTTGAAGCAGATATTTTAATGTACAGGTTACCAATAAAATGTATTAATTATGAATTAATTATGGCAAACTGCTTATGATACAATCTTTTTTTTTCAGTTACAATATCACTGGACACTGCACGATAATACTGTAAATAAATGAAATAAATAATAAAAGATAAGAGATAAAAGATAGAAGTGGGTCACTACACTCTCTTTACAACCTTACGATACAATCTTAAAAATGATCATTGCAGCAAAAGCTTCACAAAAGTAGGCATAGTGGTCATTGTACAGATAGATAGATAGATAGATAGATAGATAGATAGACAGACATCCCTGTGTCAAGCCCCTCTGCAGGCGGTGCAGCAGCCAGGCCAGGGGAGTGTCATAACGGGGAGTGTCCCGGGCCAGAAGCATAAACAGCGGCTCTGCACTCCGCTGCTCCGCCGACTCGACGCCTCTCTGCTCCCGCTGCAGCTAGAAGCGCTCACCGCGGCTCATCAGGTCCACAGCAGTCCGTGCGTCCGTCCCCCACCACAACATACGCGTTCAGGTACGTTATAACCCCTCAACCTCCACCGGCACTTTACAGCAGCATGTAGCACAGATTGCTTGCCGGTAATCTGATGCCTTAATTAGGGCTGCAGTGGAATGAACCGTTACTTTACACGTAGACTGGGACAAAGGATTGATATGCTGGGAAGAAGGAGAGTGTAGACTGGAGTGAATTATTTGGCTTCTTTCTCTATGGTTTACTCAAAGGTTCTTTTTTTTTTCTTGCTCATTCAAAGATTGTGTAAACCCTGCTTTTATTGTCAAAAGTGCAAGGCAGCTGCTGCCATATATGGACACAGACAGTGGGAACCCTGCATGATGACTGAAATACTGTGTGGTGCCACTGAAACTGGCCACAGGCCCGCTCACATTCTCCAATAACTGCTTAAAGTGAGTTCATGCTGTTGTGATGTGATGCCCGAACTAAAGTTGAACATGTTGTGTTCTGCTGCATTATGGGGAGGAAAAAAGTTTCACTTCTGTGAGATTTTCCTCAGCAGTTGTATGTGCTAATCTCCATTTAAAGACATCTACGGTTGCCATAGCAACACACACAACCAAATAGTGGGACTAGTCACTTAAGATGTTAGTCACAACATCCTGTATGTGGTTGTTTGCTACAGCAGCCATGGGGAGAGTGCGTCAGGCAGTGTATGTTGGGGTGTGTGTGTGTGTGTGTGTGTGTGTGTGTGTGTGTGTGTGTGTGTGTGTGTATAAGGAAGAGATATAGACAGACCTTTGTTGGCCAATCAGAAAGTGCTGTGTCAGGCCCACACTCAGCTAGATGTGGACAGAGATTATGGGATGCCTGAACCCATCGACTGCACCCCACCTCTGATAATCCTCCAACAACTGTGTGCACACTGTATGTCAGTATGTGCACAAGAGGGCAGCTGAACTTTGCATGTTTGTATGTCAACATATTTGGACCCAGGTAAAAGAAAAAAAGGAAACATTGTTTTTTTTTACTGGAAAGTCATCACGCTCGCTGTGATGTACATCAGCTGCTGGAGCCAGAAAATCTAAATTTGGGAGACTGTCCTCACACGAAAAATGACAGCATAGATATTTAACTTGTAAATTGTAAACATAGGTTGTGTTTGCATCTCCTGACAAGCAGCCTCTTGCGGTTGTGCAGTCATGCAATGACTGTCCTCCATTTCCTCTGTCAGTAGCAAAAGCGGAGGTAGCGTGACATTGTTAGACTGCCTCAGAAAGTGTTAGGGAGGAGGCCGGATGGATGGTTTGGCATATCATCCTGGTAAACGTTGGAATATGTGACTTTGACAATGTTGGTTCCTTCTAACAATGAAGGTAATCTTTCCCTAACCTTATCCAAGTAGTTTTACTGTAGCTGCGGAAACCTGACCAGACCATAACCATCGGGATTGCAGATTAGAAAACGCTCGTATGAGTCATTTTTTCAGACAGTTGTTTGGGTCAAGGTTGGGTGGGGCCTTCACTAAAGACCTCAAACATACCCTTCTTTAAGCCTTAATATCTTATAAATTAAACTGTAACTTTCAAAATCTCAACCAAAACACATTCGTAGAGATGACTTGAGAAGTCCAGAAGTCGATGTAGACAATATTTACTGCACTGTATTTCAGAGGAGAAGTTGGGGGGTTTCCCATTGACTTCAATATAGTCAATGTGCGGAAAAAAGGCCACACCTCTCACTCAACACGCACATCGCATCCTCCAGCTGCTTTGCATTTCGAGCATTATCTGCAGCCGTTAAAGTTAAATCACATCACGTTTAATGCATACATTTCTTTCAGTGTCAACCAAACAATCTAACATTTTGTTAGAAACGTGAGTTTATATGATTCATTTAGAAACAGAACTGGGTACTGTAAGTATAAAGTGTTTACAGGTAGACTGTCCGTGAAACAACCCCCTCATATCCTTTAATAACCATCCATATATCAGAGCAGCTGTTTACAAAGATAATAAACGGTCACTTTGATTGTCTTTGTCTTGCACTATGTAAACAGATAAAAGGGAAACACAGTGGCTATTAAAGAGTGCTGGGTCTGTGCACAGCGTTATCTGGCCTGAGCAAGCTGGAGGGCAGCTGCACGGCCCTCCAGAGGCTCAGAGCGGCATGCATGGAGAAAATGAGTCATCAAGAATCCCCCTTCCAGAGGGAGGAATCTTTTTTTTTTAGAGAAACTCAGGACAGAAGCAGAGAAATTCAGACCTTACAGATAAAACTGTTGTGTCCTTGGTTTTTGAAATGGGACACCAGCATACAAATCACAAGGCCTTGAACGTCATATTAATCCAGTGTTGCTGTCACAGTGGATCAGGTTTTGGTTTTTCACCCAGGCCTGAAGGCTGACACAAAAGAAAGGCTGGTAAACACCAAAAAATGGGGGAGGGGATTTAAATAACTGAGGTTGGAATGACACGCTCATACCATGTTTATCTGGCAGCAAGGGGGGGGGGGCAAAGAGCCTGCAGTGAGGGGGTAGAAGCTCGACAAATACCTCCGGCACTGCAGAGGTGCGGTGTGGCCTGCAGACACCATCTGCTTTTCCCAGTATGCCTGTGAAGAAGCACTAACAGTCACGTGACGTGTTCTATTTAAACTCCTGGCTGTTAATGGGTTGAGTCAAACAAACTGACCCTCCCATGAGTCACTCTATCCAACCTGGAGCTGCCAGAAACTGTTTCATTCAACAAAACTGTGCACAAAAATATTCTAATTTGTAAAAAAAAAAAACTAAAACTCACGGTGTGTTAAACTACATTCTCTAACCTCCTCCCTCATTCCTGTTAGATATTTTGTGGTTATCTACCTTTTGTCAGAGTTGTTGTTAGATTTTTTAATACAGGCTTTGATTTTTGATTTTTGTGAGGTGATTCAGATGCTGTGTATCCCCTCTGATGTCTGCTTTATTAAGCCACAGACAGTGCAAGCATCTAACTGTGGGATTAAAACCGCTTTAATGAGCAGAGACAGACAGAGCAGTTCTCTCCGTCAGAGGGGAAGATCACAGTCAAAGGCAGTCATATTTATTTAGTGCCACAGAAACAAAGATCTTAAGAATGAAAAGTTACACAAAAGTGATATTTTCAATGGGTGAAATGTTTCAGAGTGAAGGTATTCAGCTGCTGTTGGATGAAAAGACTTCTTGAACAAGTCAACTTTTCAGGATGTTTTTTTTTTTCAAGCAGCTTTATTTTCAGGAAATCAGAAATCTACACACGCAGTATGTTTTTTTTTAAAACATTTATCATGAGGATTGAATGGGTTACATTGATACTTTGTTATGAAAAGTACACTAAACAGAAGCACTGATGTGAAACTTTACTTCAAGTGTAGTTCTGAAGTGAAAACTGAAGTGCATACTGTATGCTTGTGTCATGGCCACAGTTTTTAGTCACTAATATGTTAATGCTTATCGGCTTGGTTTAGAATTAAAGATAACTTCTCTGCTGTACGTCCGTCTCTGTGTGAATGAGAATCCCTATGCTCAGCTCAGATCTTTGCATGCAAGCTGTTTTCATATTTCAGGGCCGTATATCAACTCAAACAGAAGTTACTGATTTATTACCAGTTGCTTGGGAACATAAAGTTACTGTGTTCCCTCACAGCAGTTGTTAGATGGTTAGAAATTTAGGAAGTAGCATTTTGGATGTTCAAATGAGGATTCGTCACCAAGTGTGCTACTAGCTGTGGTCACTCGTGTCACTAAGCAGCCATTATTGCCATAGACATTTCTTAAAGGAATACTTCAACATATAGCCTATTTGAGAAGATCAAACCCACTCTCATGTCTGTGTGTTAAGTGTGGAGCTGGTGGCGGGAGGTGATTAGCCTAGCTAGCCTAGCTAAGACTGAAGGTTTAGGGGAAACAGCTATCCTAAAGCTAAAGTGCTTATGTGTGTAGCAGAAATATATATAAGCCAAATGATCCACATTTTCATAGTCACAGTTTTTATTAAATTAAAATAAAAACTTCTACAGCATGTGACACTGTATCTTTAGACACTTTGTATTTTCCAGTATTCAGAGGTTCCACATTTGATTATTTGCATGTCCCAAAATATGAGTGCCGACTGTTTCCTTGTAAAAACAAAAAACCTTTGAAATGGCTAATACTAAGGCCTAAGAAAGAGTTAACTAAGCCAGTTCACTCTTCCTGTGTGGCCACAGACGTTGCAGATTTGCTGTCTGACTTTTATGGCATTAAAGGTTCTCCAGGCTTGAAACACCACCAGGCTACTTTAGAGCCTGTGTAGGAAAATTGAGCTTTCCACGTCCTCCATCGTTATGGCCCCAGTGGAATTGTGCAGCAGCTCCTTTTCCTCTTTGTCTGGCCAAACCTGGACACAGGCGCTGTAGTGTCAAGGAAGTTCAGACAGTGACCTTGTATGACTCCAGAGTACCCAGCTGTTTTGGCTACATCGTCTAAAGGAGCTATAAATGGGTTAGATCTCAATGCTCTTTATCAAAATAATTTATCTTAGAGAAATCCACCAGCCAGCCACATGTGCGGACATGTGGCGCAGTCAAAACTGAGAAAAACGGACTGTTTGATAGCTGTTGCTAAAATGATGCACTTACTTTTCCATGCTGAAACATTCCATAGCTACAAAATACTGTGCAGTGAGTTTGGATGTTGCATAAGTGGAGGGAAGAAATAGGGAAAAAGGAACCCCACATTTGTTGGCCTGGTTACGTGAATTCTGAGCCACTTCCCTCTTCCAGGGTCAGGAACAGATTCCTGCCATGTTTGTGGGCAGACAGCCCCCTTGAAGAATGGGCCATTCTTGCTCCAATGTGGATTGTTAGTCAGGCAAATTGAGAGGCAGCTGGTCCAAGTAGCATTCCTGTGGAAAACTGGACTCTGTGTTCATTTTGAACTACATGACCTCCTGTTTTTAATTTTTTTTGTAATAACTAAACCTGAGCTTCATTAACAGCTATTCACAGTTAAGAACAATGATGGTGTGAGGGCTCATAAGCACATAGTCTTTTAAATAAAGTCAAATAAAGAAGAAATGCACCATTAAAGGTCACAGAAGCCCCCTTTCAGAGGGGTCAGGTTCTAATTTGAGAACACTGCTTCACTTCAGAGAATTTGTTTTCGCTCTCTCTCCAGTATTTTCTGTGGGAGCAATTAGTATGTGGTGTGGGTCACTTTAGCATTTTTATTTTTAAAGGTCCAGTGCGTAACTTTTGGAGGATGTATTGTGAGAAACGGAATAAGCATAGGTATGTTTTCATGAAAATAAGAATCGTTGCATTTTTGTACAGTAGCCAAGAAGGTAGAAACCAAACACTGGCTCTATATAGCGTTTTTTTACGTTCTTTGTGCATTTCGCAGACACTGTATTCTGTCCCTCCTCAAATCTCAAACATCCACATATGCTACGGAGAGGCCAGCGGGTTGTAATCCAGTGTAGCACAGACACCTACTTGAAACTCTTGATTTGGCACCACATGTCTTATGTTGGCAGATATGGCTGGTATGTGTGTGCATGAATGTTTGGGTGTGGGTGCTATACAATAGGATGCCATGTACTGTGAGACCATGGAGATATGTAAACTGGTAGAGATTTTGCCATATTGCTATTATGCTAATATCTAGATATTTGTGGCCAGGTGCATATATAATAGACTGAGGAACAAAAATGTCTAGTTATACACCCGACTTTTCCTGTAAATAATTATAGACGTGTTTCTTTGCCACCATCTCTGTTAGTTATGACAACGCCTGATTCATAACTGCCAGGACTTCCTCTTCCTGCTCACTGAAGGAAACACCTCGAGCACCAGTGACTCACCGTGCTGTGCATTAATGTCTAACTATAACCCTAAACTTTATCTTAGTCTCCATGGCAACAACTCACTTCGAAAGGGAGTGGCTTTTCGTGTGGCCAACGTCTCACAAATAGGGAGTCCCAGTCTCACTTTTAAAAGGCTATTTAAAAAGCTCTACGATTTATATCTCTGCAGTATTTGACCACTGATCTGTAGCGTGAAAACCACAGCTTGCTGCCACGGGAACGCACCTTTTTGCTTAGACCTGTCAGATTAGAAAAGCACTAAATCACAGGTGTGTGATTTTCCTGCAGGCAGGATGGCAGTGCAGCACCCAGAGTTTGAGCGGGCTGGACAGACACCAGGCCTCCAGGTGTGGAGGGTGGAAAACTTTGACCTGGTGCCCGTTCCAGAGAAACTGTATGGCGGATTTTACACCGGAGACGCCTACCTCATCCTGAACACCATCAAACAGCGCTCCGGGAACCTGCAGTATGACCTCCACTTCTGGCTGGGTGAGTGCAGTGAGACGTGTGTTATTACAGAGTCATTAGGGGACATTAGATTTTACAGGCCACTTAGCAGAGTTTTTCCTTCTTTGCGACTATTTTCCTTTTCAAAAAAACAAACTGTGTACACAAGTTCTCTAAAAAAAGTAAGCTGTGTGTATATGCAAAAGTAAACAGGGAATGAATTAACTTATTTATATTCATCCAACACTTTTTGAATGTGCACACACACCCAAAAACAATAAAAAGCACAGATAAGAATTTCAGCGTCTAATCTAGCAGACCAAATAACCATAAAGTTTGCAGGCACTGTTCTGGTTTCCATGGACATTTGGCCAAACGTAAGAGAGCTGATCACAGTTTTCCAGTGCAGCTACGATCCTGTTTGACTTGCAAACCAGTAGATGCTGATCTGTATCTGTTTTCCTGGAAAGTAATTTCATTTGACAGTGTTTACTCCACTGCTGCTGTTGTTTTTGTGCTTTTGCTGTGTCTCATCCTGCTTACATAGATCCGCTTCTAAAATTGTGACGGGCTCTGTTTCCTTTTAGAGGCGTGGGACAGATGTGCTTTGTGATTTGTTATCAACTCATGAAACTTGAATGGTTTACAGTGATACAGTGGAATTTCATAGCTTTATATTATAATTCTGTTTCAGTACAAGGGATTATGACTAGACCATTTTGCACTAACATTTAGTGTACACAAACAAATATGTTGTCATCGGTAATCCACCAATGACTGAAGTTTTCAGATTCTTGACTTAAAGGTACTACAAGGTCAGTCTCAATTTAATGCTATTGCCTCTACAGGACCTATATAAAAAAACAAGACCATCAGCGTAAGGTTTGGCTATTTCTGTACATTCTTAATCCCTACCACAGGGTTGGATTCAGTCAGTTTCCCCTTGAAATCAATGAAACTAGGTGGTAGAAACACTACCACTTTTGTCCACAGGTGTCACCAGAATCAACACAAAAAAAAGTTTTCAGCTGCTTAAAGTGAAAGCAGCAATACAACATTGCAAAAACATTCCATTAAGAATTTCTGGATTCAAAGTTTGATTTTAAAATGACATCTTATCTGCAAAATGTTTTCTAAAGTAGAAATACTGATGCAAAAAAGGCCCCCTCATTATCCATGAAGATTTTCAACATCTAAGCAGCATTTGAATCTGTAGATTGTAGAAGATAATTTGAACTAATTTACAGTATAATGTATCGAGCCTGAAACAATAAATAAAGCTATACAAACTATATAAACTGATCCTATGCTTTGTATGTAAATTCTGAATCTGTAAAGAAAATGTATTTACAGTAATTACTTTATGCCATTATTATAATAAGTATATTGTAACACACAGACAGGACTAGTTTTAAAAAATCACTGCACCTATAAGACATGTAGAGTTTTTATATATTTGAAACAGACACAGATATTGTGGTCTAAATACCATTGTCAAATGCACGTATCTGTCTTTAGATGATTCAGCTTTTAGGTTTTTTTTACTAAAAGATGTAGGAAAATGTCAGTGTTTTAGGATTTAGCTTGAAGCAAACAGGAAAGTGAGAAGCTGAGTCGTGTCTATTATTTTTATTGATTATATGTGCTTTTAGTCAGTTCGATTGATCATGGAAACAGCATTTACCAATAAACAGGATCTGATGTAACACTCCCACATGCTGCTCACTAGAAATAGAATAATATTGCATGTATTAATGTGTCTGCTGGGATCTGACCCTCTGCTGCTCCTGCATATCGATGTCCTGAGTGAATTCGTCAAACACAAAATGTGGCTCTCTGGGCATTTGTACAGCATGACTATTGAGATAAAACAAGGAGCAGGATTAGAATGGAGCATGTCTGTGGTTTCTCTCTTGCAGGTGATTTGTGCACCCAGGATGAGAGTGGTTCAGCGGCCATCTTTACAGTCCAAATGGACGACTTCCTGGGGGGAAAACCCATCCAGTACCGCGAGGTCCAGGGATACGAGTCCAAAACCTTTCTTGGCTACTTTAAGTCTGGAATCAAATACATGGTAAGATAGCACATTTTATAGCTGCAAAACATCTACAGTATCTACCAGGAATTAAATACATGTTTTGGTGTATTTTATATTAAGTATCATGCATCAGTCATGTATGAGTGATACTGTTATATATGAAGTTTGACTTCCTCTTTTTTTTACATTTTTAAGGTTATATTTTATCATGTTATAAAACATAAACTGCATTTTGTCATTCCGTATCTGTAAAATGGAAGATCCAGACATTTGTGACACAAGATTTCCAAGTATACATTACTTTTTTATAATCAATTTTGAATTTAAAAAATATTTAAAAATTTTTATTTAAATTTTTTTTTTTTCTCCATCTTATTCTGTTTAGGTTGTAGCCACTTTTCTTAAAAGGTATGTATTTTATTTTGTTATGCATCTCTTATCTTCCAGAAAGGGGGCGTGGCGTCTGGGTTCAAGCATGTTGTCACTAACGAGGTGGTTGTGCAGCGGGTGCTCCAGGTCAAAGGTCGCCGTGCTGTCCGGGCAACAGAGGTGGCGGTTAGCTGGGACAGCTTCAACCAGGGAGACTGCTTTATCCTGGACCTGGGAGATGTGAGTCAGACTGGGCAGATAAAGCAGATCAGTATTAAATCTACCTAATAATATGATTACTTCCACAGTGAGCTCTTTAAGTAGCGTCAAAGCTATAAGGATTATGGGAAACGTGGCTTTACTTTTTGTAAAACACAAAATGCTACTGTATAAGTACCACCTTCAGGAAAGATTTCATTCACCTACTTTGTAATCTGCTCTTCTTCTTGCTCTACAGGAGATTTATCAGTGGTGCGGCTCCCAGAGCAACCGCTTTGAGAAGCTGAAGGCTACTCAGGTCGCCAAGGGTATCCGTGACAACGAGCGCAGTGGGAGGGCCCGAGTTTATGTCTGTGACGAGGGGATGGAGAGAGAGAAGATGCTGGAGGTGAGATTAGTGAATCATGAGAACAAATTGAGTGTCAAACTGACCTCTGTGTTAAAATGGCTGCTTCTGTCCTCAGGTGTTGGGTCCTAAACCAGATCTGCCTGTTGGAGCCTCAGATGACATCAAAGCTGATGCTGCTAACAGAAAGAGGGCCAAACTCTACAAGGTGAGAGAAGAGTGAACCCCACCCAGGCACACATGCTGTCTTCTTTTTCTAAATTAGAAGGACTTAGACCATTGGCTCTATAAACTGTATTTGCTGCAAGAATACCCTTATTACTGTTAATTATAGTAATCATTGTCTTCTGGGAGCAGGAAACATAACTTTTGAGTTCATATATACTTTTGATATTTTTGGGTATTTTCAGTGGCAATGTGAAGAAAATCTAAAATGATCCCTAAAAATCTGTAAAAGAGTTTAATTTCAGGATCAAAACAGTGTAGTTTTTTAATGGCAGTTATGTTAAATCACTGATCATTTAAAGTGACAGTGATTTTATGGGCAGCTGCTATTTACCAGGTTAAAAAAGGAGGCAACACAACACAACTTATTCTTTGAGCAACTCTTGGACTGTTAGTTTTCTAACCTCCTTCCTCCTTTGTCCCCACCTGCAGGTGTCCAATGCCAATGGAGGCATGACCATCGCTCTGGTGGCAGCAGAGAACCCGTTCGCCCAGAGCGCCCTGGAGTCCGGTGACTGCTTCATTCTGGACCACGGATCTGATGGCAAGATCTTCGTCTGGAAAGGTCAGTGCAGGGTGCTGGATTGGATTCCCCATAATGTTCATTTGGCAGAAGTTCTACTACAAGGATAATTGTCTTAAAGTGAATTAAAGGAATAATTTGATATTTTGGGAAACACCCCTTTTTGCTTTCTTGTTGAGAATGAGATGAGAAGATTGATACCACTCTCATGTCTGTACAGTAAATATAAAGAGTCAGGAGATGGACAGCTTAGCTTAGCACAGAGATTGAGAGGGAAACAGCTGGCCTGGTTCTGTCTGTCCAAAGGTAAAGCTCTAAAGTTCAGTAATTAACTAGTTATATGTCAAATCCGTACAAAAACAAAAAGAAGATAAGACCTATTAATTGGTGAACTACTGGTGGTTAGATTTTTTTACCTTCGGACAGAGCCAACCTAACAGTTGTTTCCAATCCTAATGCTAAAATAAGTTAACGTGCTGCTGGCTTCAGCATTATATTTATTGTACAGATACGAGAGTGGTGTCAATCTTCTCATCTAACTCTAGAGAATAAGCATATCCCCAATTATTACAAACTAAAACTATTGCTTTAAATGCACAACAACAACATTGTTTTTTTCCCCCTAATCCAAACTTCCATGTCCATCTATCCCCAAAAAACTTCATCCATGACATGTTTTTCTCATGAATGATACTGTTGTTGTTTTACAGACTTTCATAAGATTCCCTCCCAGTTATAGCTTGTCAATAATTTGATTCTCACCTATCCTTTCTCCTGGTTGCAGGCAAAGACGCCAACATGGATGAGCGAAAGGCAGCGATGAAAGCAGCAGATGAGTTCATCAAGAAGATGGGTTACCCCAAACACACTCAGGTCCAGATCCTGCCAGAGATGGGTGAGACGCCTCTCTTCAAACAGTTCTTCAAAAACTGGCGAGACAGAGATCAGACAGTTGGCCTGGGCGTGGCCTACATCGCTAACAGCATCGCCAAGATCGAGAAGGTGCCCTTCGATGCCGCCAGCCTGCACGACTCAGCCGCCATGGCCGCCCAGCACGGCATGGTGGATGACGGTAGTGGAGAGAAACAGGTGAGAGGACGGACACTGGACATTTGAACTACCTGGTACTACCTTAGTGACTTGGGGCTTTTGGGGGGCACTTTGGGGGAGCTTGTCGACTTTGTGCGAGCCTACTAAATGTGAGTGAGTCTGTGCAGCTAGAAGATGTTTACAGTGTTACATTACTTTGCACTGCAGATATCATGTGATGTAATCATGTAATATCTATGTGATTTGTAGTAAATGCAGTGGTCCCTAAAGACTTACATTGTGTTTTTCTTGACAGATCTGGCGTATTGAAGCGTCCGACAAGGTGTCAGTGGATCCGTCCACACACGGACAGTTCTATGGAGGAGACAGCTACATCATCCTTTACAACTACCATCACGGAGGACGTCAAGGACACATTATCTACATGTGGTGAGATTACAAGAAATTAACAGTTTGGCCTCAGATAAAGATCAATTAGGCAAGATTTTATTGTTAAACATTACTAGCGTCATAACTTCCTGAATCTGAAATTGTCGATTAGTGATTGTACCTGATAAATACTTTAAAATTGTGAAGATGACATGTAGGATTAAAGGAACAATTGAGACTGTGTGTCGAGAGGAGTCAGAAGTTAGTGCTGGAAAAGTGCTATGCTATGTAAGATGTTAACATCAACAGTGTTTGATTTCAAAGTTAAAGGTACCCTGCGAAGATTTTGACCACCAGTAGCGCTATGGAGCAATATTTTTTATGAGTGGGTCCCCGTTTTGTTTTTATTAAGTATGCACACAAGGAGGCTTATGCAAGCGCACTCAAACGTGTGTGACGCAATACACATTCCTGATCTGCAGGCGTCAGCAACGGGTAGGGTAGGGTAGGGTAGGGCAGAAGAAGACAAGCATGGGTGTAGATATAAGATATAAAATATACCTTCTAGTTTAAGGCTTCAGATGCAAAACCTACAGTAGTATCATAAAATATATTTACCGTGCACTTTGAGAGATAAAATATCCAAATGGGCTCGTTCATTCTCCAACTGTGTTAAAGTACTGCTTACAAGCATCAATGTTTAAAGGGACTAGACTTTTGATATAGTCAATTTCCACTTAATAGTTACTGCTAATAACATTTTGACCTTGATGTTTTTTTAATTATAAGACCAATAAAAAAAATACTAAAACAAATAGAATCAAGAAAATAGCAAGCTTAGAAATTAGAGCTCAGAGGAACACAGTGAGTGAGTTTATAAGAAGTCTTTAAAGCAATTTCAAGCCCATTTAGAAGACTCGTGGCAATATCACATGTTCAAATGAAGTAAGTGCTTTGGTGATTGTCCCATGAATAGTACACATAAATCCATTTTTCCAAAACACGTTCTAATTGTTGAGATATGGAGCCGGTTTGTGCCTCTTATTATGTTCAGTGGAATGATGCATTGGATTTGTTTTCCAGGCAGGGAATGGACTCCAGTCAGGATGAAATCGGGGCCTGTGCGATCCTCGGCGCCCAGCTGGATGATGAGCTCGGCGGTGGCCCTGTGCAGGTGAAACTCATTGTTCCATTAGTGGCTTTTAGTTTTCACAAGCTTAATATTCATCTTATCATTTATTAAAGTCTCTCTGGCTCACTCAGCGCAGTCACTTCCTCCTGACCTATACCTTTACATCCTTTCACTCTTCCTCCTCTCCCTAATGGTTTTCCCGCTACTGCTTCTGTCCTCCTTGGTTTCCGACGTTTTCTGTGTCTTCAGGTTGTCGGTGCTCCTATAACCACTCAGGTATTTCCCCTCCCTTCCCTGTTCCTCACCCTCCCAGAATGACTCATGATTTTGTCCAGAGCCGGTGACAAAAGAAGCAAACTGCCAACTGTCAACTCCCCGATAAATATGAATATTTTGATTTTAAAGAAGGTGCTATCTTCATTTTTCTGTCTCCTTTAAATGAAGGTGATAATGAGTTAAAGTGAATTTACAGTCAAACACAAACAGGACATTCCGATGTGGTTGTTAATGGGAAGTCCCCTCCTCCTCTCTGTCGCCAACCCTGTCTGCTCCACATAAATAACAGCCCTGTTTCCAAACTCTACAACATTATGATAACTCAGCCTGCCAGTGAGTGCTAAAGTCTGAGGTTGGAAATAAGTGTGGGGATCATAACACAAATATCAGTGTATAAACTCTTGAGTTGTTTAGAGTGAGTCCTGGCTCTGTACTTATGTGAGTCTTCATTCATTCATTTCTGTGTTCTGCACTCGTGTGTCTTCACTTTGCATGTATAGCCTTCATGTTCATGTTGTGTCTGTGCTGTGGCATGAGTGTGGGTTAAAGGATAGAGGGACTTTGCACTAAAAAAGAAGAAGTCAACTTTGGAATGAATATTCATACAGAAGAATGACAGTGGATTACTTAGTTTCTATTATTATGATTACAACTAGGAAAAACTGTTTCAGTGTTGACACCTGACTGTCCTTTACACTCAACTGCTTGATGCATCTGCAAATGTCATTTCTTCCAGATGTTTCCCTGCTCTCACCTTTAAAGTAGAGAACAGCTGTCTTGCAAATGGCACTTTTGCATTCACAGTTTGTCAAACTAAACTATACTAATTTACCTGACTAGGGCTGGGTAGCATTTGAGTTTTTTTCTATACTAGTACTGATACAGATACTAAAATGATACAATGAGAAACAATTTATCTAGGAATCTGACAAATATATAACAAGAGATTTGAAGTAAGATATTAAAACCTACCACCACTGTGCTGTTTAGAGATGACACTGGCTGACAAAAAATCCTGCAGACGGACACATGGACAGTTTCATATCATAGCAGAGGATGCACAAATAGCTATGAGTTCAGGGAATGTTTGTAGTTCGGAGGTGTAAGATGGTGGACTACAATATGTAAACTCATCAATGATTAATTATCATTTCTTCATTCTCTCCATTTATTAGCTGTGATGATGTAGGAGAAGGACTGACAGCCATAAATATTTATGACAAAAGCTGCAGACCAAAGAGACTCATAATCCTGTTTCAGACGTAACCTGCGTCATCACTCGGTGTTCTAATTTCACAAGCCTTGACAGCCACCACCTTGTGCACGGCCAGTGAACACCGTGCTCAGCACCATGCTGCCATCTTGTGTGTGTAGTCGGGATTGCAGCAGACATTTGTCACATATTGATGATGCATATTTCACAAGTCACAACAACGGAGGATTTAGTTGCACCACCTTGGGATAATTCACAGTGTCAAAATGCTAAAAACTGCAACAACCAAGTCATTCTCCAGTTTTAATTTTGACATTTGCGTACCAGGTGAGGGTGATGCAGGGGAAAGAGCCGGCCCACCTGATGAGTCTGTTTGGAGGACAGCCCATGGTGGTGTACAAGGGAGGAACGTCCAGAGATGGAGGTCAGTCTGCTCCCGCAGAGACTCGACTCTTCCAGGTGCGCTCCAACTCTGCAGGACACACCAGAGCTGTGGAGGTAAGAGAACACACCTCATTAACTTTCTAACTTTACCACTGCAAGAGATGATTTTAAAGAATAAGTCTGGTGATATTCTATATTTTTCCAAAACTAACAATGAGCCTAGTAACAAGTATTGTGTGTGTGTGTGTGTGTGTGTGTGTGTGTGTGTGTGTGTGTGTGTGTGTGTGTGTGTGTGTGATCCAAAGCCTGACATATCGTATTCCTCTGTGCCATAGAGCTCCAAAACCTATTTAAAACATGTTAATGAGCCACACTGTTGCACTTCATTGTAAAGAACAGTGCTGCCACTGTAGTTTATTTTGAGTCACACATACACCATCCTGCCCCCAGACAACTCACTGCTGAAAATAGTCCCCAACAAATGAACTATTTTCAGTATTGTTTCAGTAACGTTTGCTAAACTACAATGCCCAGCTGTTTTAGGGAATGAATGAGCCTTTTTAAAAACAATGAAACTATATAGTGTTCAGTTGTATCTATTGGGCTTGGGACTGAGTGACACTCATTATTATTTTGACATTTGGGAAAACAGTATGAAAAACATAGAATAACACAAGCCTTATCATTAAATATCTAATATGAAAATGAAAAAAACAATACTTCGCTTTTGTTGTAAAACAAAGTCTCCCAAAACTCTCACAGTATTCTATAGCAAAAGAGCAATCGGCCATCAAGACTTTTTGGTGGTTTATTTGTTTTGTTTTTTAAAACTTGTCATGTCGCGTAAAAAGTTAAAATGATGTAGAAGGCTGCAGTAGATTGCTCTTGACTCAACAAATGAATCTACTGTAATATACAAAATAGCTTAGTATACACATTTTAGTAGTAGTGTAGTTTTTGCAAAAATATGCCAAAATCCCTACGTATTTGTCACATTGTCCAGCAAATGTTACAGCCTAGAATTTCTTTTGTTGATATTTTATTGTAGCTTTACCATACAATTGTGAAACTACTGTGGTCTATAATATGGTCTGATCGCTGCCTAATACATCACCGAAAAAATAAAAAATAAAAACACCTCATGGAGAATGAGGTGACCGAACAGAAATCCAAGTCCTCTACAGAGTACAGGACATTTTAACTAAAAGGGCATTTCTTCTTGTAGTCAAAGTTTTAACCTATAATATCTCTGCATCCATGCAGCTTGAGGCGGTGTCATCCCACCTGAACTCCAATGATGCTTTCCTTCTGGTGACCCCCGGAGGCTCCTTCATGTGGGTGGGAGTGGGTGCCAGTGACACCGAGAAGCAGGGAGTTCAGCAGCTGTGTGACATCGTGGGAGTGTCTGCCTCTGAGCTGCCTGAGGGAGGAGAGACTGGTGAGGAAACATGATGAATAGAAAGTCCTCTTTTTTTGTGCTTTTGAGTCAAATTGAAACCCGATACCAGTTAACGTACTCAGATTTGGATCAGTATAAGCTACAAACTGCAGCCATGCTGTGAAAATAGAGCTATAATGTGTTGTCTTTTTGTATTTTAGCTAAAGTAAGTGCTTCTGCTCATCCATATTTAAACAAAGGAGACTTGATTGCATCACCCCTTTAGATGTTATCAGTAATCTGTGATTTGCTTTCAAAGCTCGAGAAGAAACTCTCTGCTAGCAATTTCAAATATAAAACCTCAGGCAAAAACATCACAGATTCAATTTTTTATAAACAGCAGGCTTTTAAGGTCCGGCCTCAGCTGAGGGCTGTTAAAGACAACAGAACAGAAACTCATCCTTTTATTTCTGTGAGCTTAAGCTGATAGTTTATAACCTTTCTTATCCAAAATTCACACAGTAAATGGCAGCGTGGCTACCTTTGGCAACTATTTAACACATTATTTGAACAACAATACATTTAGTATGTCCTTTGCACGTCTTTAAAGCTGCACTAATCGATAGATCAAATGACTGTGTTATGCGCAAGTTAGACCTTGTTCACAGCAGCAGTTTTGACATGAAATAGTAGAGTAAACACACACAGGTGTTACCAATTATACTAATTAAGGGTCTGTTCCATTTAGCGTAGCAGTGCCTTTCCAGTGCAGCACCCCGACTGTGTTTGACCTGAATGGAACTTTATATGTTCATAAGCTTTCTTCCTGTTTAAATACATTAAACAGTAATAACTTGAAGTGTGTCTGTCCTCTTCACAGATCAGTTCTGGGAGGCTCTGGGAGGAAAGGCCGAATATCGCACTTCTACCAGACTCAAGGACAAGATGGACGCTCATCCACCCAGGCTCTTCGCCTGCTCCAATAAGACTGGAAACTTCATTGTAAGTGTTTAGTTTGAGCTTCCTCTAAAGCTGCACTCGTTTTAAAGGATCATTTCACAGGAGTCAACACTTCTGCTAAATGGTCTTGCAGATAGTTTGTTTGAGATACTGCAGAGACCTAGTACTCATCAACAACGTGCCGTTCCAGAGATAATGTCCCAGTTCGTTTTGAAAAAAGAAAAATATATTCTTTTTGTGTAAATTCAGCCTTTACATCAGACTGAATAAGAAGCACATTGTCTCTACAATATAAATGTGCCCTGAATGCCACAAACTCCATTCTGCACACTGTACGTCAATACAGCTCCACTTAATCCTTCTCCTCCTCTTCTCAGATTGAAGAGGTACCAGGGGAGATAACCCAAGATGACCTCGCCACTGATGATGTCATGATCCTCGACACTTGGGAGCAGGTAAAGGAACCAGAGCTTTGACTGCTTTAGCCAGATTCAGAGCACAGCAATGAAAAAAAAAAGAAATATGCTTAAAACTTTCCCATTTTTAGGTGTTCATCTGGATCGGAAATGAGGCCCAAGAGGAAGAGAAGACTGAAGCAATGGCGTCTGGTAAGGATGTGGGGAAAAAATGGCTATCTTAAGAGCTAAAGTTATTTATACCTTTTTAAAGTAGTAGTAGTGATAAAGGGACTCTACTGCTTCCCTCTTCCCTACATTTCTTTTGAAAATGTCAAACCAATCCTAAACTGACTTAGATAGTTTAAAGAATATCCATCCTTTGTCTTACCCATCAAACATCCTTTTGCTTATTCAAAATAAAAAACGCCCTTATGTCATATTTAAATTGTGCACATTAAGAAAACATTGGATTGGATTTAAAACACAGTATTAGGAAAAGTGACACTTAAAGGAATATTTTCTTATTCCTACATCCTGGATAATTACGTGGGCAAAAACTGAGTATACACAAGTTGTGTTTTTATGAGGGATATATGCAGGATTGTTTATTGTCTGGGAGCAGCGACTGTGAGGTTGCCAGCCACCAGGACGTTATAGGAATAGTTCATGATCACCCGTCACGTTTACCTACCATTTGTACAGATTACAAGACGAGCTGTAAAGTGTTCATTTGTGAGTTTTAGAGGTGCTGGTAGGCGGATATTTTTCACCTTTGGACAGGTCCAGACTAACCGTTTTCCCATTTCCAGTCTTTATGCTAAGCTAAGATAATCGCCTCCTGGCTCCTGCTTGATAGTTCGTGTACAGACACGAGAATGTGAACAAAGAGTGCATTTTTCCAGAGTGTCGAACTGTTTAAGGTAGAGTTTAGTGTTCTTTTGTTTTATACTGACAACAATTTTCAGTATTTGTAAAGGAGCAATTTTTACAGTGTGTCACTGGCAGTATTAATTTGAACATATCAGTATTGCTGTTTAGACAGCAGTTACTATGGTAACTGATAAGTGTGCACGTTTGTGATTGAAGTTCACTCGAGGACTCGCACTAATTCAAGCTTTCTCTGATCTTCCTCAGCTGTCCGTTACATCGAGACAGATCCGGCCAACAGAGACCGCAGGACGCCCATCGTCAAAATCAAGCAGAGCTTTGAGCCGCCAACCTTCACCGGCTGGTTCCTGGGCTGGGACCACGACTACTGGACCAGCGACCCCCTGGAGCGCGCTATGGCTGAACTGGCCATTTGAGATCTCAAGTGATCCTCCCTTCCTTCCTCCCTCACTATCAGCCCCAAGTCTTTCACCCCACTGCTCCACTGCAAGCACTGAGCTCCAATCATAAGACTTTTACACCTGCAGAAACGCCCTGAAAACAGGAGTTTCATTCTTCCTTTTTTGTTGTGCTTTTAAGGGATACAGGTCAATGAGCAGTGTTTTAATTGACTACAGTGATGCCTTTTTACCCATTATGAAACCAACTAGTACAGCTTTAATACACAGGCATCCTGTAGGGTTTTGCACTAAATATAGTCTGCTACTATGACTTTTACTGAAGCCAATTCTTCTCATTTATTTTATATGTTGAGAATAAAACCTGTTCACTAGTGAAATGTAATGAAAACAAACAGTCTTGGTGTGCGGCAACATCGCAAAAACTCACTGCCAAGAAAACACTGCTTATCAAGAGCAATACAACCGATGCCTTAATATTCTCTCCTCTAGTTTACAGTAAACCTGCTTTTTTTTTTTTTTTTTTTAAAAAGGTACTGTTCCAGTTTAACTATGCCTTTATAGCCAAGTTGTTTGTACCTTCAGTTTAGATGCCTATTATATTTATTTTTGAAAAAATGCCCAGGAAGCTTATGTGATGCTGCAGTGGCCAACTGTAAACAGGAAACCAATGCTTTGCTGCTTTACAATCCAGTTACGTCTTCTGTGACACTTTCTAAAGGTTTCCCTAAGCCTTGTTATCATTTCAATAAAACGAGATGAAACATGCTACGTGTTTTATGTCTCTGCTTTTACACTCATAACACTAACGTGAAAAGAATGATATCCACAGACAAATATGCTTTTTGATAGAATCTTTATTTAAAGTCTAACTTAACTCTACATGTACTATGTCAGGATAAAACCATATCAAATATTAGCAAACTGTATAAAAACTAAACATAATACACTTTGAATAGAACTTCTGAATATTGATGTAACATTTTACAACTAGATATAAGCTGAAGTAATTAATGAGCTGAGTTTTTCTTTCTTATGTGAAAGCCAAATGATGAGAAGTGAGCTCAAGAAAGTTATTATCTCTGAATGCTGCCTGAGAAAGTGGACAACACGCAACAACCACAAACTACTGGTGAAACATCACCGAGGAGCTGCTCAGCGAGCTGCAAAGCAATGCGGCCGCGTGACCCCCCCCCCTTCTTTCTGTAACAGACTTACTGTAACAGTTCAAACTCAATATGGGTCAACAGCAATAACTGAAATACACAGGAGTTCTGTAGTAAAATAATACAACAGTCTTTGTATTACATAACAAAAAAGAATAAAAAAAAAAATAGTGCCACTTTAAACCTTAAGTTGTGACAAACAGAAACCCCACATCTAGCTACTGGCTAGCTAACTTCACAGTAGTGCGATTGAGTATGTATATATGTATAAATGTATATGTATATATGCATATATAGTAAAACTACTAACTCACACACACTCTAAATACTGTAACATACATTTACCAACACTCTGAATATAACTACATCTTAAAGTTTTAAGATGGGTAGACACAAGGATGATTACCTATTTGGCTTGTTTACACCAAGAAAGAGCATATGTATTGTGATAAAAAAATAAAATAAAAGTTATTTTCACGTGGAAGTGCATAGAAATGTGGAAATCTGTAAAGGGAATTGATGGCACTAAGTTAAGGCTTTTGGCTGAAAGATTTGCAATACGTTTCTTCCCAAAGGTCCCCAGTTCTCCTGAGCAGTTAAGCCAGACAGGGGGGTGGACAAAATAATAGGAACTGACAGCCCTGTAATACACACAGTACCATCTGTATAGTTGATAATGCTCTGACTGCTTGTGTCAGAGGGAGTCAACTCTACAGTAATCTCTGGTGTTCCTTAATACTCTTCCACCCTTGTGAATAACAGACAGTGTATAAATTCCCCTGGGATAAATAAAGTGTCTGTCTGTCTGTCTGTCTAAATAGAAAATATACTGTAAACAAATACAAGTAACATGCAGCATGTCAGCCTGACTGTCAACATCCCAGCAAAGTTTAAGCTTGTAATCTGAGACAGAAGCACTGACAACCAGAGACAAGGTGTTTGTGTATTTAACAGAGAGAGAAGTGTGTGTGTGTGTGTTTGTGTATTATTATCTGTTTGTCACTCCGAACGATCCCTACTTTCTGAAGGGGCTATTTTAAGATCAGTGCCTAACACTCATGCTGGTTTCGTATTGTGATTACGTCATTGCTTTGGATCCATCTGGTGCCTCTGACAATTGAAACAGTTAAGTCTGTTTACGTATTAAATATAATTCTATTTCTTTTGTTCACTCTCTCAATGAAAGTAAGAGTGACAGTGGAGCGGGTTCAGTACAGTAGCGTGAATACTGTGTCCTGGTACATGTTTGAACCTTAAAATGTCTGTTTGATGATGAAGCTGGAATGGGGTTTACACTAAAATTCAGTGAGCACACGCAATGGGACAGCGAACATCTAAAAAAAGCATTTAGTTTGGTTTTGGGGATTAGCAATAAAGCTATTACACATTTCATCATGACAATACATATAAAATGATAAGAGCACTACGATGCTGGCAGTGGTCGCAGTAGTACCACAATATCAGGAGATATTAGATATCTATATCGTGTGTGTGTGTGTGTGTGTGTGTGTGTGTGTGTGTGTGTGTGAGGCCACATATCCAGCAGGCACTTTCCTTTAAAATGTCTAAAATGGATGATGAGACAATGCTTTTACTTTGACAGTCTTGCCTTGATTTCTACATTTGCAGCATAAAAAAGACAGGATAAAAACCACCTGCTGCACTGTGGCTATTTTTAGTTAAATCTCATACACAATACCAAATTAATTCAGCCAGTGGGCAGCTCTTGGCAGACGCACTTAGCTGACTGCTGTAGATTTTGCGGTGTGTCTGGCACCGTTGGCTCTGCAGCCGCTCAGCTGACCGAGCACACTGCTGAACGATAGAGAGCTGACAGATCAGTGCGCAAAGAGACCAACTGATCTGAGCAACGGGACCATGTGACACAAGCTACATTTCATCTTTTCTATAGTTTAAGCCATCTAATGAATCTAAAAAGCAAAAACAAAAAGTATGGCCGTTTGGAATAAAGTAACCCAAGACCGACTTGCTAGTTTTCTTTTTTAGATCATGACTGCAGTTCTTTCCTCTCACACAGATGCAGAACATACGTGCATGCGGGCTGGCTATCAGTCTTTGAGGTGTGTTCATATGCAACAATGGCAAGGCCATAAAAAGCTTTTAAACTGTTTTTTTTTCTCTAAAAAGACAGCTTGGTGTATCTGGAGCCACAAGCACAACTTCCAAAGCATCATTTTAAAACACAGCTGGTTCCGAGACATGCTTAACAGACGCCAGGCCTAAATCAATAGTGTGTGTGTGTGTGTGTGTGTGTGTGTGTGAGTGATGTATGTATGTTGTGTGAGTGTGTACGTTTGAACAATTTTCAGTGTTTGATGAAACCCTGCATCATCTCCAGCGGCAGCGGGAAAATGATGGTGGAGTTCTTCTCGGCAGCGATGGTGTTGAGGGTCTGAAGGTAACGCAGCTGCAGGGCTGACGGAGACTCTGCAATCACCAGGGACGCCTCCTTCAGTGCCCGCGACGCGTTCATCTCTCCCTCCGCGGCTATCACCTTGTGAAGGAAACAGAAGGATGAGACCACACTTCTTCACACTAACTGATCTATTATTATTTTGCAGCATTACACTGATACGTTGGGTTAAAAATGACATAAATCCTACAATGCAATGTTTTCCAAATTTAAAAATCTGAATGGGCTCAGGGGTGGAATGTTGTGAGGTTTGAGGGGATCTCCTACAGCCCTACCTTGGCTCTGGCCTCGCGGGTGGCCTCGGCCTCAGCGGCCATTGCTCTCTGGAGCTGATGGGGCAGCTTGACGTCTTTGATCTCCACCCGCTCCACCTTGATCCCCCAGTCATCTGTAGCATCGTCCAGAGTGGACTGAGAAGACGGAAAGACAAGTGTTCAAAATTATTCCACAAGTTTCCAGAGTCAATTGACACAGGCACATTTTTAGCTGGTAGCCCATGTTTTCTAACTAAGATTTCATAAAGTGAAGGTAACTCCAGGAAGACAAAGACCAAGATTAGCCCAAAACTAACCCCTCCTCTTCAAAAACAAACTCTGACATTTTTCAAAATCGTCCAGCAGATGGAGCTCCACCTGGGTGCACGTTCCTCTCTAATGGAAAGAAATTACATCTAGAGCACGGTTGGTGTAAAGGTAGAAAATGAGGGTTAATAAAATACTGATGATGGCAGATACCTATAAAGCATACTGACACCATAACACACAATCCTAAAATTACATGACACTAGCAGCATAATAGTACAATTGTAGTCATCTTACACGTACAATTATAATGCTTTGGATTAACAAGTACTTAATGATGAGCAAGAAGCAGATGATGCAGTTTATTTTCACTCTTATGCATTAAGTATTTCATGCAGGGTGTCTTCAGATCAACACCTACATAGTAGGAGCCTTAAAAACAGATTGTTTTCTTTTTACGGAGCACAGTGGTGGTGTTGGAGAAAGGAGCTTTGTTCTTGTTGTTTTTAATCAAGTCAGACAAAGCATCCTACTGTGAAAACAAAAATTAAACGTCCGGGGCTATGCTCTGGGCTGCAGTGGAAGAGTTGTTCAATTCTGTTTTCAAATTTTTTCAGTGGGGATAGTGACCTTTTAGAAAATGAACTGTAAATGTGAGAAGAAACCCCATTTAACACATAAACAATGTCTCCACCTTTATCCACATCAGTGTGAAAACAATGAGTGTACAGTAATACTGAACACAGAGTATATTTGACATTAATGAGGTACAGACTGATTGCTGACAAACCTTCTGACTGTGTTGTTTAATCATTTAGAGACGCTCAGCATAAACTGGAAGTTAAACTTTAATGAATAAATAAATAATTGAACTGAAAGGCAAACTGACAGCTGTGCTGTACATGGAACACAGGATTACCTAAGGTTTTCTTAGTTTACATCTGATGCACATTCTAACTGCAGTTTGTTAGTTTAACTTTGAGTTCAGGCAAACCTGGCTCCAAGCAAGGTGGCACTGTAATCCACCATTCTGTTTTCTTTATGAGTCAGTCTGTGTTATTGGAGCTTCGTATTATTGCCTACATTTATTTTTACTGACTACACAATAGGTTTTTCCTGAGTACAGCCTTAGTGTGCATTACTTCAGGGGTCCAGCCTTTCAGTTATAATTTATAGTTATAAAGTTATATTTACAAAATTGACTTTCCTAACAATCACAGGAACTTTGCAACAGGGAAGGAATGTCAACATATTGACATGACGACTCAACTGTAGAAGAACTGACAACTGACAGCCTTTTACAAATGTCACGTAAGAGACAAGAGAATGAAAACAATTAGCTTAAAGAGGCTACAAGGCTACGGAGAGTTGAGGGGAATTGCAGAGTTGGGTGACCATTCCCTGAGTCTGTCAGCATGAGACACACTTTTGATATCACACATAGTTGTTTCTATGATTTTATCATTTCATCTACTGGAGGAAAATCAGCAAGCAGCACGAAGTGGAAACTGAATGTGGGAGTGATAAATGTCACAGGGTCACACAACACATAAGAGAAGACAGCTGTGGAAAGATGTAGATCTACCACTAAAGACATGTAGGTATGTCAAAAATTAATTCAGATTCATTGGACTGCAACCCATACGGCATAATACGCTGAGAGAGCATCTCAAACAGTTGAGTCTCGTACAGCTGACATTGCTCCACTTGTTTCTGGTGATAGCTTTACCTCCGTTGGTAATTTTGCCAACCCCAATTACACATAAACTGTTTCTCACACATTTTGCTTGCTAGTGTCCTCCGCCATTTTTATTTATTAGCTTACTTTACTAATAGGTCAGTAGGATTCAACAGGAACAGAGTGCCCTCTGCTAAGTCAAAGCGGTCTGCTGCGCTTAGAAAGTTTTGAATTCAAACGAAAGTGAGAATTCTGAATAAAGAGTGACAGCCAAAGTGTGTCCAGACTGTTAATTGTTGGAAGACCAATAGTGCTAGCATGTTGTCTTTGGATCATACTGCCAGCTAGAAGTGTGTATAAAGGCTACTCTACTCTACCTGCATGCTGTGTGCAATTTCTTCACGGTCGGACAGGATCTCTGCCAGGTTCTTGGTACCCAGGACGTTCCTCAGGGTGGTCTGGGCCAGCAGCCGGGTAGCAGCATCTGCATTAGTGATGTTAGCCACAGCCAGTGTCGCATTCTGGACCCGGTAGTACACCACACCGTCAACACTCACTGTCACAGAGTCTTTGGTCAATACCTGGGAGGAGGACAGTGATTGAACACACATTAGGATATAAAAAGGTAGGAATTGTTAAGTGATATGAAACTGCTAAAAAGGATTTATGTGGTTCCATTTGCCAAAGACAAAGAGTATTTCAGTGTTTCCTCTAGGATTTTTTTTAGCAGTGGGGGCAGGCCTGTCCGAACCACCCCCCCGTCCCGTCCCACCAGCAAACGTTTTACGTATGAAACAGAACTGACACTTCGCTGCAAACAATATATTTATTCACCTCTATTCACACACAATGAGGCGTTGAGCTGAGAACTGACAAGTTGAACGTTGTCCAATTAAAACGGACCCACCGCAGTGACGTTTTTGGTGGAGCTGTTAGTTTAATAGTCGACTTGGAAGAAAGTGAACGTTTTGACAATAAGCTACATCAACACAACAGTATGTGGAGTTAAACTGGACAGCCCCAATAACCTCTGAATAGTTCTACTTGTTGTTAAATTGCAATGTGAGCGGCAGCCAACGGGGGTGCATTATGTCTGCAGGATCATTTAAAAGGCAACCGTGACTACATTGTGCGTCTGCCCCATTTCTGATACCGTGGCGGCAGAAATTTAACAGCGGCGGGCCGCCGCTCCAAAATCAACATACAGGAAACACTGTATTTTGATGTCCTTTGAATTTCTGTGGATGTGACAAAGTGTTTGTTTAATGTAATTGGAAGTGTGCATGTCATACCTCTTGCGGTGGGATGTCGAAGGTGATGGTGCGCATGTCCACATTAATAAAGCTGTCAGTGCACGGCAAGATGAAGAACAGCCCTGTGGAATCACAAGAATGCAAATAGTTTTAACAAAGACTAAAGCCGCTGTAAACACAATAATGAGGAAGCTTCTTCACAAATGTTTGAAAACACCGGGATGAATGAAATTTGGGCAGGAGGCCAAGTCAAGCTCCCTTTATAAGACTGCAGCTGTGCTGACAGCGAGGCAAAGCTGGGGATATTTGCAGCTTTCATAAGACCGTTTCAAGTCACAATGATTGAATTAGTGCATTAAACAATACTAGGCATGTGCCTGAGTGAAACAGACATGTGCTAGGTGTGCAATCATTTAGCAAACATTAATGCCACAGCGGTTAGAGACTAGTGGGCTGCATTTCCTGTCAGGATACTGTGTATTTAAATGGTGAGATCACAACCATCTGTTCAGGAGGGGAAATTAAGTCAACATGCCGTTTTCGTCACGACATTTCCAGCATTCTCAACAATTATAGTTCCTGTCAGACAAGTAAAGAGGCCTTGGTTGTTCCCAGAGACTCCGTAAACCATTTTGTGAAGCAGTGGAAAATTCCACTGATATGTATCCAAACAAAAGCTTTGTTCATGAATAAACATCTCTGTTCATTGCAGAAGAGAAATGTATACGGATGCAAAATTTTCCACAACACACCCATTTCATTTAATGAAAAATTATCCCCACAAGCCAGTTTCAAATTAAATATACAGGGAAAAGTTTTAAGATACTGTTTTATAAGAGCTGTTGTAGAAGGAGAGGGAGCCAGATTACGAGCGTGAGGGTAAGGAGCATTATGGGAAACCAAATGCTAAATTCAACTTTGGCATTTGCTCCTCCAGCTACTCAGCAATGTAAAGTTTGCTGGCAGAGAGCTATTATTATCCGACACTGTCACAATGAGGGTCCCCTGGCACTCTGAGGAGTCACATTTCAGCATTTTGAGAGGACACTGTCTGGTTTTTAGATCCCATAAAAAAAGAAATCAAAGATAAAGAGACAGTGAGTTATGAGATGTATGCAAATTATTCCTTGTGGGAGTCTGTGTTTTTTACTTAAACAAATACGCCGCCTTTCAAAACAGGAGTCACATCACTGAGAATAGAATGAATAAGGCGTTCAGACATCAAATAGACACATATGCAGCAGCACTGTCAGACCTATAGCTCTGCGACTTGGAGCCCATATAAGTGGTGCTGCAGTGAACTTGTGTACTCATCTATGTAGTTGCATGCCATTTAGTTGAGCTTTGAGGTGGGACATCCTCTCACCGTTATTATTTGTCTTGATATTTTTTCCATTTTTAATTTATACAACTGATTTCCCTTTTATCTTTCTACCCACCAGCAGGAAGGGGATGGGTGGGAAAGTACAATAAGCCACCCCTGATATTAGTCAGCCTTCCTCCAAATGTTTCCATCACAGAAACACGTTTACCACATAAGAGGAGAGAGGAAACCTTTACAGACACACTTTACATTTAAGGAAACAACATAACCTAAACCTGAAGTTGCGAAACAACTGGCCCCATAGATGTTCTAGTTTTACAGTTTAAGTTCTTCCTCTGTGATGAGAGCATAAAAAAGCCAGATGTTCAAGTCTTATAATCACACAATCTACCGTATCTTCCAGCCTCTGAACCAAATTGTAGCACAGTTCCCACTGCCTAGGGTAACAACTGGGACTTGTAAACAAATGTTGAAACAGTATTATACAGTAGTATACTATTTTAAGTTGTTTGCATTATCTTATTGTATGTTTGTGCGGTATTTTGATGTTCGGGACCCCAGGAAGGCCAGAGGCACATACATGTGCTTTTAATAAGGATCCATAAATAAACAATAAACATGTCAACACAGTAAACATGTCTGAACTAAGAGATGAAGATGACTGCAAGTTAATCCAGGGAACATAGACACTGGAACCATGTTTGAAGTACATTTTAATAAAAGAACTGAGGATGTGGATGGAGAGAAAAATATATATATAACGGAGGATAGAAAATGTTCTGACCTGGTCCTTTGGCTCCTCCTCGCAAAATGCGCCCCAGGCGAAAGATAATGGCTCGCTCGTACTCCTTCACAATCTGTGTACAGAGACAAACCCCATGAATGGCTTGGATCACGAGTCTCTTCCTTATCTTGTTTGACAGTCTACAGATGTAACTGGATATGCTTGTGGATAACTAACTTTGAAAAAGCACTGACCAATTGTCCTGCTCACAGAGGATACCTTTTAATTAAGTAAATGCAAAACAAAGGTTCACCAGCGATTTAATTAAGGCTGTTAAATAAATACACATATAATAGGGGATGAGCCTGCAGTACAAACCCTCGCAAAACAACAGAATGAACAGAGTAGGTCATCCTCTGTAACCTACTCTACTTTACCAGCCAGCTTTGCTTGTAAAGTGAAAAATAAACATTTTACCAGTAGCTGACCTTAATGCACATCCATATGGAGATGGGGAGAGTAGCCAGCATGAGAAGAATGGAAAATGCGACCAACAGCCAACCACACAAGCCAATGTCAGTGTCTGGATTCTCCAATGCTGCTGGAAAGAAGACAAACACATGCATGATGCACCAAAAGAAACTCAACAAATAATGTGTGGGAATATATTCATACGGAATATAAAACATTTGCAAACAGCTGTTCAAAAAGCAAAAAAAAAAAAAGTTATTTCAGGTGCAACTTGCTTGGTAAAAACCTACATTTAAAAACCAATCATCTATTACAGCCGCGTTCATCCATCTCTGAACACCCAACTTTATTATTATTATTATTATTATTTGTTAAATATATATGGTTAGTGAGGTTTAATGTCACCTCTGCCCACGTGTACACACCCACTGCTTCTGGGATTACAGACTGGCAGTCACATCATCCACCCTGCCAGCAGCACTTACTCCAATCAAATATTTGATTATGACATGCAACCATTCAGTGAATGTGATCCGTACCTTCAATATCATGTTTACCATGCCTGCTTGAACCTAAAGACATAAGAAGTCAAAACACCATTGAACGACTTACAATAACGTTACAGCAATTAGGCATAGCTTAATATTGAGTAACTACCGGCCACATGGAATAAATACTAGAATTAGCTCATTTAAAGTTAAGGTTACAAGTTGCCATACTGTCTGTAAGTGGCCTAGATTACTGCTGATGCAGCCTGACAATCCCTACTGACATAATCAATACTGATCACCATAGGGCTTCACAAGCTGACCACACCCAGTGATTACGGGTAAATTCAGTTGTTTATTGAACTGACTGGGTTAGCTATCAGTTCCTCAACACGTAAAACATCCCAATCTCTCATATCAGGATGGCAGTGTATACAAATTAACTATTAGCCTGCTCCTCAAAATTAACGTTAGAGTATCAATAAACACAATCTCAAAGAAAGCCAACGGCTGCACAACCGTTAGTTATAACATTAAGTGTGTGTGTTCACTCTAAACACAGCCAGCGTTACTCTGTAACTTAATGAAGGTTATTTAACGTTACTCTGCACGCTGGGACGTTATCCGACGTTTACTAAGTTACTTTTAGCTTGGGAGTGGAGCATGCTAATTAACGCTAGCTAGCTTCGGGTTGACCAGTGTTAGCTAGCAATAATGACCTAACGGTCACTGCGAGCGACACGTTCGACATTTTATTTGGGTTTTCACACCAGGTCAGATTACACATACAGTTACAACATATGCTCCGTTGATGGAAAAGTTAAAATAACTTAACATTATGTCTTATTTCTACTATACTGATTATGGTGCCCTCTGTTGCCAAGCGACTCCACACCTATAAAGTGAGCAACCGTTGGCTCAATATTAACGTTACCTGCTTGACGTTCTCGTCTTTTGGAATCTTTCATTCTAGTTTCTTCGTTGTCCATGTCCATAGTTAAGGCCTGATAAAATAAATAATCGGTGTCGGCAAGAAATTGTCTCCCTGTGTTTACTGCAGTGGCCGTATCCCTCTACGCTGCTGCTGCTGCTGCTGTAGGAGAGGGCTGGATTTACCCTACATTTTGACTTGTAGGTGCTCTGACGCAGAAGGGTTTTCCGGGGACATTAAAGTGGGCGTGGTTCTGAGCTTCAAAATAGTAGATTGATTGTGGCCTCTACCTTGCAACAGAAGCAGTAAAGTTTTTCAAATACAGTGTAATTCCCTAAACATCACAATTCAACCAAAGAGGAGCAGTTACCTGGATGTACTCCGATCAATGCAGTCAGTGTTTGCACACACTCCGTATGAGTAGGTTATGACAGCTGAGTAAACTAAACTTCAAAAGCTTTGGGGAAAAAATAGCATGTGTTACTGTCATTCAACATTAAGAACATAGCTGATATTAATGTCTTCAGTGTTTGTGTTATGTTTAAATAGTGCTAATTATGTAGTCATAATAAAGAAAAATGACTTTTACAAGAAAAGGTGTAGCTTAGTGCTTGGAGTTTTAGTGATCCCTTGAACAAATAGTTGAGATATTCTGTCATGTTTAGTTTGTGCTACAATCTGAACGGTTGAAAGCCCAGAAGTAAACTGACCAACAATTCAGCAAATCATCTTAAAAAAAAAAACAACCTGTAGCCCTCAGTGAAAGGCACTAACACAGTATTCTAGGTTGAGGTCTGGGCCATTTTAAAGGCTTCCTCAGATACCAACGGTGCAGTGGGAATATAGCTGTCTCCTCTGTGGCAGCAGGCATTTAAACTACCCAGTACTTTAAACTAGCAAAATCTTAGTTGGCTATTTATAGGCCACAGTGCTGGGTTAGGTAACAGCTGAAAGCAGCCTCCAGGAATAACTTAACTTTCTGTGGTAATTTTGTCTGTTCGCGTTTAGCTGCTTTGGCTACCTGACACCTGGGAGGTTGCAATGCTCAGGCAACTTCAGACCACGATGTGCCTGTAACAAATGTAAAAAATGCCTGTTTCTGTAAGTCTGAGAACATTTAAAAATGTCATCAAATATAGCAAATTAGGTGCTTTATGGTTTGTCATTTGACTTGTGGTAAGTGCATAAAGAGCTCTGAACATTTGAAGTTGCTACAGAGGAAAAACACCTATTAGAATGGCAGATTCTTGATGATAGTGGATAACAGAGGCAAACAAACACTGACATATTTTCAATAAATAGCCTTAAGAACACAATTAGCATCTCAGTCGTGGTCAGACATTTCTTAGAGGTAGTAAGCAGAAGACGTCACAGATGGAGCCTATGTGGCTGCCATTATTAATTTAAAAAATGGAATTTTCATTGTTATTTATTATATTTATTGGGTTATCAGAATGAGCTTTAACAAAATATCCTTTTCTTTTTCCAGTTCTTTTAATTAATAAAATTATAGATTAACTAATTATAGTCATAGGTGAAGACACTAAGAAGTATTTTGATGAAAATCCAGCTTTAGTGACCCCTGGATTCAGTACTCGGTATGTGGCTGTGACTCAAGCTGCCTACAAGTCATAACGCTGGGCCAACAATTACCCGTTGACACTAGTGCCTTCTTTAAAATGTGCCCAGAGTATTATGTTTCCCAGAGGATTTGCCAGTTTATAAAATTAATCCTCAAGTTATGTGGTTCTTTTGTTCAGTTTGTGTTTACACTATTTATTTAAATGTTATTGAAAGAGATAGAAACAGATTTATTTATTGGTGACATGCAGCATAATTTGAATACAGTAAAATTGGTGTAGGGGACTGTTGTCATGAACCAGCTAGAAGTTCAGACAAAACAAGGGAGACCACACAGATAATTAAGGTTTTTAAAACAAAATACAATTATTTAACCATAATTAAACTATATACTAAAGTATAACAATATGTAAATCAGTGTTGTCAGTAGCGTAGTGAGTGTGTGGATATAGGCTTAGTGTGGTGTAGGGAAAAGGGTAATGTGAACAACAAATCTAAGTATATCCAAAACACAAACAAACCAAGAACCTGCTGGCTGGGAGGAGAGAGACATAACTAACAGGTTCAGCTCCATATATATCCTCGCAATCAGGGAGCAAGTTAATTCAGGTGTAGTTTATCCTCCAGCCACACCCCTGCCACTCTGTCTCCTGCACAGGAAAAGGGTGAGGAGTCATCACACTTTAAAGGCACCCAAACTCAGTTCTGCTCCTTGTCGTAAATTGTTTTCAGACTAGTGGAAATTTTAAGAACTGGGTATTTTCAAAAAATAAAATAAAAACAGGCCGATGTAATTTAGTTGGGGAACTGCTACAGTGCCTGTTTTTGGACCAATCCATATTTGTAAGCGCCTTTAGTCAACAGCTATTGCAGTGACAGACCCATTCGTTGAGTTCAGGTGGTGGCCTGCGCAGAAAATCCAGGCAATTCCAGTAAGTGTGATTACAAGCAAGGGGACGGTGGCTATGCATGTTGGAGTGGCCTATAGCTCCATCCCATCTAATCCTCTTTTAATTAGGGTGAGAGAAAATGCGGGACCCCTCCTGGATTAGTCACAGCACATTGACAAAGCACCAAGCTGGGACCAGTGTACAGGACTGGTGGCCAGTTAAGTACAGCGAAGACCCTCTCAAGTGTGGAAAAACTGCTCTATGATCTCCCTGCGGCTACCTGGAGTTTGGCCCTCCTGCTTCTATAAAGTGTCTCTGGTCTCTGGTGAACTGGGAGGATAAGTTACAGCATATGATTTGCTCATTTCCAATCCTTCCCCCATTTTTCACTCTCACTTGATAGGCTCACTGTATCTGCGGTCACACTTGCTCCCTATTATCCACCCTTTTTGCTAATCCTACAGGGTACTTTGCTCTCCTCGTTATCTCTCCCCATCACTAACTATCTATCTTCATGCTCTATCTGTCCATTTCTCCATCCCTCCTTCTTTTCTAGGCCAGTGATGGAGGTTCAGACTCATGCTGATGGGGATTGAGATGAACAAAAGAATCGGTTAAGAGCCAAATAGTCTACCCTGCAGAGCTTTGAAAATGTACAGATAGGCCTTACCCAAGCCAGTTTAATGTATCAAGGTACAAAGTAATCAATAGAGTTGATATAGAGTCAAGTTATTACAGTGCTTCAGGTCTACATGCAGAAGAATCTGGATCCAAGAGGCACATTAATATATATTATATGCAACGTAAATTGTATGCTTTACTGTAATAGTTTAATAGTAACATAGTTAGATTGTAAATGTGAAATTTGACGTCACTGTGGGCTTTATTTTCTGTCAAATGAAATATGTTTGATAAGTGATTGGATAAGTGACCACTGGGGGTCACTGAGGTGGTTCCATTGAGTTCCCTGCTTGTAACTATCATCAGACAACAGCAGTGAGCGATGAGTGAATCGATCTGGTGCAATTAAAGTCTAATGATTCAGTCTGAAAAAGGAACATTGCTTTTACTAAACTAAACTTTACTAAAACTATCATTTTTATATTACAGCCTGATAAAAAACACAAACACAAACACAAACAGACTGACAGCTGGGCACGGATGATTGTTTTATACACAGTTTAGGTTAATTTTTCTGGGTTTCATTCTAATATGGTTGTCAATCCCTTAATGTATGGACAATTCTGTAGTTGTATATCATATAATACTGATAAACAAATGCTGTCTGATGCATCATTTCTGCCGCTGGTGCTGTGAAAAATTTGTGGATTGATAACATGACAACAGTCAACATTCAAATTCATAATTTTTCTATGAATAATAACTTCACTGTCTCAGACAATATACGGATATATGTATGTCAACTTGTTTCCAGCTGTTTATTTCCCCACAGGGCCAACAGCTGTCATTTTGAATGCAGTAGTGAGATGCAGTATTTCCCTACATATTGCCAATCCATATCAGTCATGCTAGAGTTTTTATGAATGACTCTGATTATAATTGTCACTTTGAAAACATGAGATCCAGCTGGTGCAATGATCATTCAGCCAATTGTTACAGCAACTCCTGTTGCGAGTTTAAGAATATAATTAAGGAGGGGCTCGTATCTTTCCACAATTTGGTAAAAAGAGAAACTTTGTGTGATGTGCTGAAAATATAATCTGTTGGATCCATGTAGATGTGAAGATGTGGAATAATACAGTGACACATACTTTTAAAGTTTGTCAAAATACAAACATTAAAAGTATGAGTCACTTCATTATTCCGGCATTTTTACTCAACTAACAGATGTTTTAGGCTGCACCTGAGCCAAACGTGCTTCACAGGAGACATTAGGCATCTGTGTCACATATGCACTGAAACCATTAAGGTTTCATTGTGGTAGGCAGGTTGGATACCTGTTGAGGTGAGGCAGGTGATATTTGTTGTGGCTGATACACACATTCAGATGTACTGGACTGACTAAAACACTGCACTGCGCCCATATCAGCTGTTAAGGTGTACTATATGTCTCAATCAATTTCAGCAGTCATCTTAATATAAAATGAATGAAAATTAGTAAAAAAAAATTAAAAAAAACTTCGTAAAAGAAACACATAAATATGACTTATTTATGACAAAATTTTGTGAGGGAAAGTTTCCCATAGTGGGAAACAGATTAAGTATTATAGCACCCCATATATAAAAGACAACATATTATTTCTAATATAGTTATATAGAAAGTAAAGTAAATAATGTTATTCTTTTTCATAAAAAACTTTCACCAGGCCTCTGGGAGAATTTAGTTTCACAGTCACACAGTCTTATCAGCTTCCTATTGTAATTACACCATATATTATCTTGAGATGCTTGATAACTGTAGAAGCTGCTTGTGACCAAGAAGTTGCACAATAACTGTTTCCAACAGTAAGTATTATCTGAACTTAAAAGTAAATTATTACATTTCTCATTTAAATTACTAAACCAAATTTTTACTTTAAAGCTGTTCAATACGTTGCCCATAACATTTAAATTTGATTTAACTTCTGAAGAGGGCATACTCTTGGATGAAAAGCCTGTTGACATGTTTTTTTTTCAAACCATGCAGCTGTAGATAGAACATCTAAAATAATCCCAGCCATGATCTTGGCCATACTCGTCTAAAATAGATTTTTAATCTT